CCAAAGAGAAAGAAGTGCATCCTGTCGAGAGAACATGATTAGGCCAATCTAGAGCCTACTCCCTGCCCACCCACCCACCCATCTGCCCATGTCTCTGATACTTTCTCTGCTAATGGTTGCTGCTTAATAAATCTACAGATGCACTGTCATCACAGACTTGTGTTTGAGTGATTTAGATTTAATAACATAGTTTAAAAAAAAAAAAAAAAAATCTGTTTTGGTATTAGGAGATAGGAAAGACTCTCTATGGGTCTGAAATAGATTTGAAAAATGTTATGTCTCCTGTTTAGAGCAAGAATCCTGTTCATCTTGTGTTAAATGGTATGAGGTTGTGCCCTTGTGCTTCTCAGGAGACAGTATTATGTTTCAAAGAGGTTTCTATCATTTTCTTCCATTACAGGAATAGCACAGGGAAAACCCTTGGGACATCTCCTTTCATTCTCTGTCTTTGCCTGTCCGTTTGTCTGTCCCTTTGTCTGTATTTCTCTACGATGTCAGGTTCTGAGGTCATCTATGGGCGCGTTTATCAGGGCTTGCCACTAGATATGTACATATCGTACCCCACTATCAAACCCCACTATTGAACCCCACTATACAACCCCACTATCGAACCCCACTATACGATCGTGATTTGCGGGATGTCGCTCTTATCGTCCCTTCACGATTCAAAATAAAGGCCTTGTGTCTGCCCAGCTGTTTTGACCCGGGAAGCAGACAGTTTCTTGGAGGTCAACTTCACACACATGCTTGTACACAACACCTGGGTGGTCCAATTTGTATGTGAGGTTCAAAACAGCTTTGCGTTTATCGATCTCTCAAAAACGTGATTCTGGCTGTATGTCACATTCAAAACACACCTTTTTGCGTCTTTAGATATGCCCATATCTAAAGACGTTTGAAAAAGGCTTTGCATTTATCACCTTCCAAATTTGCCTGAAAGACGTTTGAGAAACCTGATTCTAGCCAAAAATCTGGTCGATAAACACAACCTTTGTTGAATCTCACTGTATTCCTCAGTCATGAAAGTTCATCTGTTGAGGGCCAGAAGGCCGGAAACGGTTTCTTCTTCTATATGGGTTAATACCTCTCTTGCTCTTAATTGATCATTTCATAATTCTTTTCAAATGAACGCACTTCGCTCCAAATAAATTTTCTTCAGGCTTTATCTAATCAGATATATAGGGCAGTGGTGCAATTAGGTTGTAGATTAGATTTAGGCCAAGCTTATACCCAGATGGCATCTCGGCATCAGAATAATGCCCAATTTTATGTGGAAGATGCCCTTTAACCCTTAATATAATTTCATTTATTGGAAAGCCTGTTGTTGGACACCCAATCAGTTGACCCATTTTCAAATTCCTGGTTAAAAGCCTATTATAGGATCAGGTCAGTGCTAGGTAGCCTATAGAGTTGGTCCGTGGTTGAAATTATTGATTATACTTGTGGTACAAATCAATTATGGAGCAATAGACCTGTTATCCAGTGTGTTTAATTTATGTATATTTCTCTCCTTGACCCCTGCTAACGAGCAATTTCATTTGTGCTAAGAATAATGGCATATATGGAATCGTATGCATCTGTTAATTATTGCTATGCCATCAAGCCTCTGGCAAGAATTTTAGTTGTGAGAAAAACCTTCATTAAAAAAAGTATGCATAAAATGAGTTAACAGGCCTATTGACACCAAAGCTATGCAGTGAAAAAAATACATGGGGGCTCGGGGCGAATTAGCCCCCGAAATGCCAAAAAGAGCCCCCCCAAATTTGCAAGAGTTCAATGCAAAACGATTTAAAGAGTGTTATTTTTCATGCAAGCAAGCTTGAAAAGTAGCCCCCTAAATTTTTGAAGTATTTTTTTTCCCTGAAGCTATGTCATATTTATAATCATAAGAAGCCACTGTCATGTCAATAGTTTAACTCTCTGCCTACTTTGGTAAACTAATGGTACACAAGGTGGACTGCTGACATGAACTTTATTAACAAGCACACTTTGTAAGGAGCGTTTACACTAAAAACAAGGTTTTATCACTAGAGCATCTATATGTTGTATAATCGTAAGAAGCTGCTGTCATGTAAATAGTTTAACTCTTTGCCTGCTTTAGTCAACTATCGTGACAAAAGGTGAATTTCCATACTCCAACATTGTCATATGCACACTTTGTAAGGAGCGTTAACTCAAAAACAATGTTTTATCACGAGAGCATATGTCTTATAATCATAAGAAGCTGCTGTCGTGTCTATAGTTTATCTCCTTGCTTGCTTTGTTCAACTTATGTAACAAAACGTGGACTGCCAACATCAACTTTATTCACAGACACACTTTGTATGCAGCATTAACACTCGATACAATATTGCATATGTTGTATTATCATACGATGTGTCTACTGCCATAATGTCCATAGTTTAACTCCTTGCCTGATTTAGACAACTAATGGAACAAAACCTGAATTGCCATAGTCAACCTTTGTCACACTTTGTATGGAGCATTTACACTCGATACAATGTGATCATTGTCGAGCTACATTACCAGTGAATAAGACTGCACTATACTAGTTGCTATCTAAATGAGATGAGAAGCTGCTGTCATGTCCATAGTTTAAAGGGATCCGGTAACTTTGTCTCAGATTCTGAAATAAAATTCTGGATTTAGCTCATGATGCAATGATATAAACCTATAGGTCAGTCAGGAACCCTATGACTTTTACAAGCCGATCGCCTGTTTTATTATCAAGATATTTATGATTGGAATTACCAATTTTGAAAACCGTATGCCTGACGGTTTTCATAACACTACAGTCTATTGAGGAAAATGAGTATGGTAAAACCGGTCACTCAAAGATTTTCACTTTTTTGAGGCACTTCTTGATCATTTTGAAGCGCAGTTTTTTTTTAGGGCTTCAATATTACACCATATCACAGACACTGATAACACGTAGGGCCGTGTATCTCAAATTTAACATTGTTAAACGATCCCTTTAACCCTCTGCTTGCTTTGGTCAACTAATAGTACACAAGGCGGTCTGCCAACATCAACTTTATTCACACTTTGTATGGAGCATTTACACTCCAAACAATGTGATCGTTGTCGAGCTACATTAATACCAGTGAATAAGACTGCACTATACTAGTTGCTATCTAAATGAGATGTGAAGCTTTCGGAGAGAGCTTCTAGAGCTTGATGGGTATTACAGGGATGACGCACACAGAGAATCCTTATGACCTTTGTGGAAAGGTTGTTATATAGGCCTGTGTAAACTTGAAGGGAAGATGGTATTCACGTCTAAAGAAGATAAACTCTTCACGCTCAAATGCATAGAATGTTCACTTTGTTTGTGGTAAAGATAGATGAAACACTTCTTATTTACCACAGCATTTAGTTGTTAGATTTTGAGGCGCAAATTGATTCAAGCAAATTTAGTTAAAACTGTCTGAATTATTCCACTGATCTGTGGAGCTCCAAGTGTCAACATAATATATTATTATGTATTATGTACAATTTACTATAACTGTTGAGCAAAATTAATGAACAAAATCAAGTAAATTAGTCCTGAATTGAATTTGAGAAATTTATTTCATAGTGACTTGTTTTTTGGCTTTTGTTTGTTTATTGATTTAGTAATAGAATTTGGTAATATTTACTGGGTGAAGAAATTGACTTTTCACTTTTCACTCTGCAAGTCAGCTGACTAATGCTACTCATTAATTCAGTTTGATTTTCAAATATAGTTAAGGATTCTTTTAAAGTTAATAGTCAAACCTGCTTTTAATAGTGAACACCTGTCTACAAAGACCGCATTTTTTGTTTCCCTTGAAAGTGGTTTCTCATTGAAAAATGTACTAAAGGAACCTGTCTTCAAAGACCATTTTGTGTGTTTCCCTTGGGCAGACACTATAGACAGGTTTGACTGTATCCTATACAGTTTTATCATTGAGGTTCAAATCAATGAGCACATTGAACGCATCTTAATTTTAACCTGTTGAATGCCTTATTTATTTTATCACATATCTTTCCTTTCCCTTTCAGGTCGATAAGAGCAACCAAGCCAAGTGAAAATACAATCATCGTCGCTGTAACAAAACATAAGTAAGTATTCAAACGCAGGATAAAGTATTCTTCTACATGTAGTCCCACCCTTTGCATGGTGTATGTAAAATCTTTTTTGTTGTGTATTGTTTGCTGAGAGTCAAAAAATGCTCATTCTGTGCCAAGGTATTTGTCATCTTTTCAATAGGAACAGATCTTTGTTCATTGTTTTAGTAAAAAAGTGTGAAATCAAAATTCACTTTCATTTTTACATGTTATCAAAGCTCACCTTTATACATTATTTCAGCTAAATGATAGTAAAATAACCCTCTGCCTAGGGAACGTACATGCACCAAATAATGAACAAAGATTTATTCATTTTGAAAAGGTATACTGTTGGTGAGTAAATGACCATCAGGGCCTATATTCATAAAGCCTTACTAAGTTAGTTGTCATCTATAGGCTATAGTTTCTACATAGTGAGTTGACAATTAGGCTTCTAAGTAAGGTTTCATAAATATGGGCGGTGGTTCTCGGCCGATGATATTTTCTGTAAATTATTTCTTGCTGAGCGGTTTTTCAAGTTGCCTTTCTTTTGACATCTGTGATTATCATCCTTCAGTACATGCATATCCAAACTCAAATTCATGAGTGTATTCAAGTTTCTTTTATTATAGGAGCTTCAGTTATTGATAGGGGGGGGGGGTAGGAGAAGGGGGAGTAGCCCTCCAATGAAATTATAATCAATGTTGTATCCTATAGAGTGACAACATCTGCTTAATGCTCTTACCCCCCCCCCCCTTTTTCCCTTTCCTCATGCCTGTTATGTCAGTTATGCAATAAATATTTATACAATTTTGTTTCTGTATTGAAATTGATTTTTTAAATTTCATTGAAAAGTGTTATACAAGTTGCCGAATGATGTTTCTCCATACAGATTGGATATCTAGCTGGCTAAATTTTTAATTAAATATTTGGTGTTGTGTTTTTATTGATATATTCTACCATACATGTCAACCTGACCTATATTTCAAATGCCATCCATGTTACCGGAAAATTTACGCTTTAATAATAGAGAATTCAAGGTAGAAATTGGACACGATTTGCATTGTAAAATGGAGTATGCAGGATGTAGGGATGAATAGTGAGACACAGTACCATTAAGTGCCATGTCTAAACTATGCATGTCATTAGCACGACATTTGATGTGAATGCAAACACCGCCTTTATTGGGTCGTTCAAAGTTTCACAAGCACAGTGCTGCTCTGAAGCCGAGCTGCAATAATTATCATCTGAATGGCATGATTTGTAATTATAAAAAGTACCTGTTTGAATAGACGTTTGAACACGTATTTGCCTCTTGCTTATTTGGTCAGGAAAGTTAACAAACTAATGAGATTGGGTTATCTTTTTTCACAAAATGGCCAGAATTATGGATGTCTGCCTACCACGCACAATGCGGTTTCCATGACAGTACAATTTGCTTTGCCTGTGGCCGCTGGCAACAAGACCTTAAACATGCATTTATGGAATAATAAAATGTGGATCACACATGAGGGATTGGAGATTTACTTAGCTCCCGTTGGACAGATCACAGTGGGAGTAATTGAATAATGACTTTTTTGTTTTGTTGAGATTTAGGGAACCATGTAACTGTATAATTCTGAAATGAGGCACATAAATGAGGGCATGCGCAGGCTGATATGGGGGCTTTAATTAGCATGTACGTGCGTCAGAATTTCTTTGTCAATTTTTAATGTAAAACAATTTTAAACTCAGAGGGAAAAGTAGAAAGAGATGGAAGGTGAGAAAGAGAGAGCGAGTAGAAAGAGAGGAGAGAGGGGAAATGTATAAAAGAGAAAGAAGGTAAAAAGAAATAGGGGAGAAGGGAGGAAGAGAGAGAGAGAGAGAGAGAGAGAGAGAGAGAGAGAGAGAGAGAGAGAGGGGGGGGGGAGGGAGAGGTGGAGGGAGTAGAAAGAGAGGAGAGAGAAAATGAAAGAGAAAGAAGGTAAACGAAATAGGGAGAAAGGAGAAAGAGAGAGAGAGAGAGAGAGGGAGAGAGGGAGAGAGAGAAGGAGAGGAGAAGAGGGGATGGGGGGGGGGGGATGAAAGTTGATTCAATAAGGGAGTAAGATTGAAAGTTGTTTAATGGAATGGAAAGCTTGTGTTTAATATGCATACAAAACAAGAACAATCAAATCAATATATGCAATTGAATGAAAAGGGAAAAACATTTGGTGGCTCCCCTCCAGACAAGCATATATTGAGTTATGAAAAGACAGCACAAACTATTTTTAGTTTCTTGTCTTTGCTTAGTTTGCTTGTAATCCCTTTTTGACTCTCACCTCTTTTCAAACGTACATATGATATTACATGATATGATAAGATAAACAGTTGTGTTTTTTTTCCTTGTTCAAAATTTTAGTAACACAAAATGATTGATTTTTGGATATTTGTACAGAAATATTCACCTTTTGAAATGGACTCGTGCAAATCGTATAGGGAATTAATGCAAGAAAAGTTAATAAAACGAAAGCAATGTCATGACTTTCTCACAAAATCACACATTTTAAGTCTACAATAGGTTCCGATCAGGAGGAAATATTACTTTTTAGAGATGATAGGTCTCCAATGGCTTTTCAAATCTGTTTTTAAAATGACAAGGTAGAAAATTGTTGAGGGAGCGTCTAATTAAACTGTCAATCTTTGCTGAGTGATTTGCTGGTAGGATCAATAAATGATGAAGGGCAGATGAAAGGAGCTATGGATCTTCACACGCGAGGCTTCTTTTTACATGTCAATTTTCACGGCTCGTTTCCAATATCGATGCCCGTCTGCATTATAGACAGGACAACATGACTTGCAATAACGTGCTTGATGCCTCTGTCATTGTATATTGATGTATTATTGATGTGTTATTGGATAGAATTGAAGGCAAGATGTTTGCTTGATATATTTTTATGGTTACAGAAAAGATGTTTGCAAAATCATGATGATGGCATATTGCTCAAGCTTATGATAATTTGATTGACAGACACTTGTGTGAAATTTCTTTAAATTATCATTTATTTTAAGCTGATATCAGGTGGTGGTATCATAAATTGTTTTAGCTAAATGCTCTGCTTTATTCATTAACTTCTCTTGAGTTTTCAGGAGTAAAAAATGAATACCCCATATGTTATTTGAAGTATGTCTAAATATTAGCAAAGCCTATGATTCAATAAATTAAAGAACCTCAAAAACTATACCCTCTGCTTTATATAATCGACAGATTCACAGGTTTGCTCATATGCCTCTATCTAGACATACTCTCTAAAAAAAATCGAGTGATCACGGACGTCACTCCTCTGGAGAGTGAAAATGTAGTGAAAATAGAGTGAACATTCACTCTTTTCTTCTTAGAGAGCACTCTAAAATCAATCGATTTTCACTCCTAAACAAGTGATCACGGACGTCACTCCCAAGAAAGTGAAAATAGAGTGAAAATTCACTCTTTTTTTAAGAGAGTACATGGTAGTAAACCCAAGGGGCAGATATTTTGTTCTTTCTACCCCATGTGCCATTGTATACATAAAATAGAGTTTTATCTTGCCACAGCAGTGTTTTTTGGGGTGTCATGGGAAAACAACGTTGAATGGCTTAAACAGGGTTGGTAAACTACATGTAATATTATTTTTCATATCCATATATAATAGTCATCTCCAGAGTATAGCCTATTGACTGCTGAATTATCTCATTCTCATAGGCTTTAATACAGAAGCCATCTGATAGTATGCAATGGATTAAAAGATCATTGCTGTTGATATATGTCATAATTTATTCAACCTTATTCCCAAATAAACAGATAATACTGAAGATCTCCATCTTGAAGCAACGTCATTATTTTCCAATCATTATCCAATATAGTTGTATTTGTGTGTCGCCATAATACCGAGGTAAACTGTATTTATATAAGTACTATGTCAGGTCTTTCCATCTGCAGAGAGAGGCCATGTCATCATGGAGGGAAATTGATGATTATTATTTGATATTTTATTAATAAATATTGGCCTTGAAGTCGATATGGCTCATGCTGCTCTCTTTCAGAACACATTTTTAATTTTTATTGCATACTGGCAGGACTGGTGAATTAAAGTAATATGATATTGCTATTGTAAGCCAGCTTATATAGATAAGGTATTTGTGTTTGTACAGCCAGTTTAACCTCGTTCACTGTTTCTTTTTAAATTTCTTTCATAATTTGTTTTTTGTTTCATCTATTCTTTTCCATCTTTACATGGATTCTGCCATGTTTCTCATCTGATCAAATCTCCTCTTTCCCCTATTCCCCCTGTAGTTTTCTCCACATTTTATCTGTTATCTGTTGTTCTTTTACACTTCTTCTTTTTCCCTCCCTTCACATGTATATTTCTCCTTTCTTTTATTGTCTTTTCCTCTTCTCATTTTTCTCTCTTCCATCTCACACTTCTTTGTCTGCTCTTCTATCCCCTTTCCCCAGTTTTTTCTCCCTATTTTTCTCTAATATTTTCTCTTTACCTTTCCTTTTTTAGACTCCTTACTCATTCCTCATTTTTTTTTTCATCTCTATTCTATTCATCTTCACTGCTTGTTTTTCATTTTTGGTGTGTTTTTGTCGCATTTCTTTTCTCCTGTATATTTCCGTTGATATATTTTCACTTCCCTTTCTCATCTGGTTTACTTCTCTTCTCTTTCTATTTCTTTTCTTCTTTGCTCTTCTCTTTTCTCTTTGCCCGCTTCTCCTTTTCCCCCAGCAATATTTTCTCCTCATATCTTCTCTATCCTTTCCCCCTTTTAACACTTTTTTTCTCCTTTCATTTCTTTTCTTTTATTCTCTTCTCTTCTCTTTTCTCTTCTCTTCTCTTCTCTTTTCTCTTCTCTTCTCTTCTCTTCTCTTCTCTTCTCTTCTCTTCTCTTCTCTTCTCTTCGCTTCTCCTCTCTTCTCTTCTCTTTTCTCTTAGCCCTCTACTCCTTTTCCCCAACTATGTTTTCTCCACATATCTTCTCTATCCTTCCCCCGTCTAACTTGTCTTTTCTCCTTTCCTTTCTTTTCTTTTTTTTTCTTCTCTTCTCTTCTCTTCTCTTCTCTTCTCTTTTCTTTTCTCTTAAAGGTGAAATTCAAAGAAATTCACAAATATGTGAACTAATGTATCACTAGAAACTGGTAAGCTAACAGATGGCCATCCTACAAGTTTTAGGTCAACTACATAGAGCTCTTCAGGTGCTGTGCCGGGGCTGTATTTAAGCATTTTGTAATTTATAATAATCATTACTTTGAATGTTTCCAAACATTGAATTTTGATAACTTTGTCGAATCAAAGTTTCAACTTTGCAATAATGAAAATAAATTAGTTTTGAAATCAATGAATATCTACTTTAATCACTCTTCTTTTTTCCCCACTATATTTTCTCATCATATCTTCTCTATCCCTTCCCCCATCTAACTCATCTTTTCCCAATTTTTTCCATTGTTCTTTCCCCTTTCCCTGTTACGCGTCCCCTCTCCTCTCTTTCCCCTTCTCTGACACCCCTTCTTTCTCTCTTTTCTATATTCTCTTCTCTTCTCTCTTATCTTTTCTATTTCGTCTATTTTTATCTCTTTTTCTTTCCCTCCTCAGTCCGTTGGACAAGGATGAGCCCTCTCTTCTCTTTTCTCCTCCTCTCACTCCCCTTCTTTCTCTCTTCTCCATTCTCTTCTTCCTTATCTTTTTGTCTAATTTTGTCTAATTTGATCTCTTCTTCTCTCCCTCCTCAGTCCGTTGGACAAGGATGAGCCATCCATCATGCCGCTCATCAGTGCTGGATTCAACAGGAGATACGAAGAGAACGCAAACACTGGCGCTTGTCTTAACGAACTCTTACAGATTGAGTTCGGGGAATTCAGGTCACAATTTAAACTCAAGTAAGTCATGATGATGATGATGATGATGATGATCCACAGCACTCGTATGGCGCCAGTTATATGTTTTAAACATTAAAAGAAAAAGAAAGACTTGATACATGGCTAATCGTCAACGAAACGGAGTTAAGTCTTTTGTCAACTCTGTTTGTTGCCACCGCAGACAGCCAGTGAAAAAGAATTTGTTTAATCAAATTATGGAAATACAAGCATTACTTTAAACTAACAGAACTTTGTTTTTCCTGGCTCATTTTTCCTGATTGAGGAGTCATATGAAAGGGCAGACAATGAACTTTCTTGAAATGTGATTTTCTCTTTGAAATTCAGATACCGCCTGCCAAATGACTTTTCGGTACCCTCTCAACAAATTGTTTCTAATCAGTCATGTGTGACATATGCATCACTTGAGTTGAATCAGATGAAAAAGGAGGATCTAAGCTTTATAAATATGTGTAATTTATTAATTATAATTGTGATTAGGTTATGATAAAACATTGATAATTCTCAGTTTTGTTTTTTCTGTGACCTGCTGTATATTAAGAGTTTCGATTGATTGGAATGGATTTGAGCTTGCTATTAATGTCAAACTCACCTATAAAAATGTATTTCATCAAGCAAATATCAAAGATCATTTGCTATAGCATTGAGCAAGCATGTATTGTAGTAGTTCATTAAAAATGTTCCTTTTCATTGAAGATTCATTTGTCTAATAGAAGCTGATCTTTTTAGAAATATCATTTTGGGATGAATTAATGTACTGATTAGGTAGTACTGATAGACCTTATTTTTTTACAGATGAAAAATGATATGCTTTTGGGTCCCTTTGTGATAAATATTTCATTCCATTTGTTTTATTCTAACGAGCATAAAAAGAAAACAATATTTAACTTCATCCAATTTTAGTCGGTATCAAAAGTGTACACTAGACAAGCAGATATAGGAGAATAATCTTATTCTAATTACTCCAGTGTGTAGAAAGCACTATAGATACTGATTAGTATGTAGAGCATTTAGCTATGTCAATGTTGACTTCACGGTTGCCATGGTTTCTTGCCGCTGATAGGTGATAAGAAGGGAGGCCGTAGGACTCTGCACCTGAAATGCATGCTTATAAAAGACTCAGAGTAGAAGTGGAAATTAATTTTTTTATCAAACTCTGTAGGTGTATACTTCAACATGGTTTGTGCGTATTAGATTGCTTTTTCACTTTTGGAGAATTTAGCATTGTAATTGCATTTCAAGTGAAAACTCTTACAATTACGAAAAAAAGAAAAAAGGATGAAAACTACTATAATTGTCATGTTTTTAAAGCTAATATTTACCCAATTTAACAAGGTACATGTTTTTGTCTTTTATGGATTGAAGCATAGTTCAAAACCCTGTCTATGCACTTTGCTTGCGTTATACACAATGCTCTTTGGTGTTAAAACCCCTATCAGGGATTTGCAAGCGCTCAAAAACTCATCTCAAATTTATCGATAGCAACAAGATGTATTTATGAAACTATGTGCACAATTTTAAATCAAAAGACTCTGTGTTTCTTTTTTGAGTGAAAATTGAAGCCCTCATTTTGACACAACAAATGGGGTGAATAAAACACTGACAGATTTAAATTTGAAAAGAAAAAATGACCGTAATATTTGCTAATAATCAATATTTTGCCATCATACTTTTAGGAAATTGGGGGCTTGTGCGCAACCTCACCAGAATTATCAAACACAGACAATTTCTTGTGGGTTTTTACAAAAGTCCCAAAAAACTGATGTTTTTTTTAAATGTTTTTTTGGGGCTGTGTAAATGGGCCTATTGGTACCATTAAACATTGGAATCCAATCAAATTAAAAGCCTGGAAGGAGCTTCCACACCCCTACCCACCTAACGATCAACATTCCAGGATTTTATTCAATGAAATAGGTTATTTGCTTGATTGGTTGTTATGTAAACCAACAACAGATAGCATCAGAAAGAAAAATAAATAAATAAAGTAGGTCATGTAGCCTGTACATTTTTTTTTTCATGATGAGCTTTTCATCAAAAGGTCGAAGGATGCTTTGATGAATAAATCAACTTACATTATTCCACTGATCAAACTCACAGAATTGGCACTTCGATGTAATTATCTTTGCCCCAGATTTTCTTGAGTGGTCAATATTTCATGCCTTTTAGACACTGTCATGAGACTATTGTGCGTTATTCTGCTTGAATACGATTCCTACAGAATGAAAAAGGTCATAGAATCACCAAAGACCTTTTTTGAGTTTACAAATGTATGATATTGTTCTTTTCATACTGAAAAATCAAAAATTCTAATTTTCATGACTTTTTTCTTCTGATATCATACACTCGAACATGTAGTTGAACATTTTAAATGAAGTGAAGTGAAACAAACACTATGAATATGAGTGACAAAGAAAGCGGACAAAATATACAGTTCCTCAGGTAGGCAAAGGAACATCCCTTCACTGCTATTATGTAAAAATGTGTAGAACAGGTGTCACATGCATATTCACCTTTTTACATAATAGCAGTGAAGGGATGTTCCTTTGTCTACCTGAGGAACTGTATATTTTGTCCGCTTTCTTTGTTCGTCATATTCGTAGTGAAATGAAAGTTCTCCCTGTTTGATTGTGATATTGGAGAGTTAAAATGGAATGTTTTTTTTGTTGCTTTCACTGACTTTTGAGCACATTTTGTATCGAATATGACGTTGATTCGAAACAAAGATTCTCTCCATTAGAATCCGATATCGGAGAGTTAGACAGGAATGTTTCTCTTTCTCTGACTAGGGAGGACATTTAAATCAAATTTGTAGTTGATTTGAAACAAGAGTTCCCTTCATGAAAATCTGATATTTTAGAGGATTTAGAAGAATGTTCTCCTCAATGTGATTTGTGAGGACACTTTGAATGTAGTGAAGCTATAGTTTCTCTTTTTGAATAAAAATGGGGTTTGGGCCACTCAAAAAGGAAATAGATGTACCGGTAGATTCCATGAATCCTGGACCCATGACCCATTTCACAAAACTTGTCATTAGTGACAATTGACAGTTTTTTTATAAGCTATTGAAATCCTTGCTTCTGATTGGTTATCTGCAGATTCCATACTGATTTTTGTCATTTGTCATTGAAAAAAGCTTTTTGAAACGGGTCCCTGATGTACATGTATTGATTTGTATTAGTTGACACTATTTCACAGTTATTGCTGCAGTTTGAGACAAGTGTGGTCAAGTATTTTGTTAAAGAAATCTAATGGAAATTTATACATGAGGTCAAGTAAACTCTTTAAATGATCAGTTTTACTAATGGAAAAAAGAAACAACATCAACAACAACATAAAGGAAAGTACCCAAAGAGTACCAATCTCTTACTCTAATATTTTTAAGGAGATCAAAAAAACAAAAAAAAACATGATTGAGATTCTTGAGGATAATTAACTCTTTAAATCATCAATTATGATTAATGGATAAAAAAAAAACAACAACATTACAATGGGTCAATGTTTCCATGGTCAACCAATCCCTTAAATATCTTTTCCAATTTCTCCACATTAGGGCCACCAACTCGTTATTTGCAGCGCTGGAGAACAGCTCCGATGCCATTCAGATTACGAGCGAGAACAGAACGGTCCAGTACGTCAACCCAGCGTACGAGAGGGTCTCCGGCTATAGCAACGATGAAGTCCTCGGGCAAGAGATGGAGGACATGCCGAGATGCGACAAGAACAAAGTGGAACTCATCGACGGCATCTATTCACAACTCAAAAAGGGGAAGGTGAGTCTATAGAAATATTGATTGGTAATAATTATCACTTCAATACTCTGTATTAAAGCATGTGTCAATAATGTTAGCCAGTTTTTAATGTTAAGATATTTCCATTGATGACAGGGGCGCAGGTATTTTTGCGAGTTGTTAGCTTCAAGAAAATTCACCCAGATTACTTACAATACATGTTTTTACATTTGCATTGCTGGCTCATTGTCAGGTGCCGAAAAATGTTGTGACCTTACAACAATTTTTGTCAAAATATGATAATTAAACCAACTACGGAAAGAAAAGCTTAAATACACTTATTGTTTTTACTACAGGGAGTTTTATGTCTGAATTATTAATATCCTAGGTTTTCATTTGTTTGCGACTCACAATTTTCTTGTTGAAACTTCTATACAAAGTTGCAATGAAAATCTGCCAAAACAATGATCTTCAGTGATTTCAAAAGCACATTGAAGATTGCAATCCAGATGTTCATGGGTTCCAATTTTCATTATAAAAGCAAAGCTCTTTACAAATAATCAAATGACAAAATAATCAAACGATATGACGTTTTTTCCAAATATCCCACCATGGATGACAGATTAGTTTTCCTTTGTTGGTTCGAAAGTACCCCACAGAAAAAACAGTTTTGGTCATTATTCATTATAAACCCATTAGTAGTATTGATTTACAGTTCGGGAAAGTGGGTGCGTGACTTGTATGATCTATGTAATTATCTCGACCACACGCGTCACTTGTAAACAATCGACCTCTGAAAAAGTGTGTTACTACCCGTATTCTGTGCTGTATAGTACACTTGTTGTCTGTTGTTGCCATGGAATTGAGATGGCCTCACTCTTCAGCATTAATTGGACTGTAGCATGAATTCAATTTAATTTCATCGCTGAAAGCTGAACGCTTGAATGAAAATGGGCATTTAGTTTGGAGATGGCAAGAAGTTAGCGCCATTAGCTATCATGATATTCATCCTTGTGACTATAAACTGAAATGAATTAAATTGAATTTTAAATGATTTTTCACAGTAAATCATGAAATGAGTAATGATGAATATGGTATGTATATCATGAGGGAGTGCATTATAGGAAGAGGTATGGTGTAGTTGAAAGACCTTTTTTCTAATTGATTATTTTAACCCCTTGACTATTGGAATTGGGTGGCTCCTGTATTAAGCCTATGTAAATTAACCAATTCAGCAGTCAGAAGGTTAATGAATGTGGGTGGTAGTTCCACATCAGAAGTAGATGTAGAACTATTATTTGGATTACTTGAGAGAACTTGATTTTTTAAAACTTTTATTCACATTCATATATATCTATCTATATATATGTATTATTTTTTCCTTTCATGTTCTTCCTTTCCTTTTAAGTAATGTACTTTGAAATTTACATTTACTTGGTAGCATTGATTAATGAAACTATAATATGTCTATCAGCAAATAGCAAATATAAATACTGTCCAGTTATCTTTGTCTCCTTTGCTTACAATACAGCACAATCATGTACCACAAGGCGTGCTTTCTTTTGTTCTGTTCAAAGCACAGATAAGTTGCTGTATTCACGTTTCTTTCCTGATTGTATTTGAATAGTTGCAATGCAAGAATGAGCTACATGGACAGGAAGAAAATATAGAATTGAAAGGCGAGGAAAATGAAAGGGGATGAAAATGCAAAGGAAATTTACATGTAACTGGAATTTTGTAGGAAGGAAATGTTTTGTCATACAGGTAGACTTTCAATTTCAATAATGTTGGTTGAAGCAAAACAAATGATGATTCTCTACTGTTCTCCCTTTCTCTCTCCCATTTACTCCCTCTCTTTTTCTCACATCCATGCACTCTTCCCTTTCCTTACTCTCTTCCTCCCTGTTTCTGTCTCTATCTCTCTCTATATCTTCCTCTCTCTCACTTACTTCCTCTCTTTTTCTCACATCCACGCACTCTTCCCTTTCCTTACTCTGTCTCTCTCTGTTTCTGTCTCTCTTCTCTCTGTCTGTGTCTCTCTCCATCTCTCTCTGTATATCTGTATAACTGTCTGTCTCTCTCTCTCTTTCTCTCTCTCCCCCTCTCTCTCTCCCCCTCTCTCTCTCTCCCCCTCTCTCTCTCCCATCTCTTCCTCCCTCCCCCTCTCTCTCTCCCATCTTCTTCTTCTTCATCTTTTCCCTTGATGGTGCAGTCATGGGAAGGTATGCTGTATTCAAAGAAGAGGAACGGAGAGAGTATTCCTCAAGTCGTCCATATTTCACCAGTTATTGGATATGGAGGGTGAGTTTCATTACATATCATTTACATGAATTTACAAATCATTTACATGTATTTACATACCATCTACATGTATTTACACATCATCTACATGTATTTACACATCATCTACATGCATTTATACACCATCTACATGTATTAACATATCATCTACATCTATTTACACATCATCTACATGTATTTACACATCATCTACATGTATTTACACATCATCTACATGTAACACATCATCTACATGTGTTTATATATCATCTACATCTATTTACACATCATCTACATGTATTAACATATCATCTACACCTATTTACACATCATCTACATGTATTTACACATCATCTACATGTATTTACACATCATCTACATGTGTTTATATATCATCTACAACAGTTACATATCATCTACATACGTTTACATATCATCTTCATGTATTTGCATATCACCCACATGTATTTGCATATCACCTATGCATTTGCATACCATCTACATGCATTTACATTACATGTATTTACATATCATCTACATGTTTTTACATAGCTGCCAACCGTTCCTAATTTAATGAAAGTAATGTTCTTGGTTTAAATCAACCACTTTTATTTTGTTATTATGAAAACAATTATATTGGATAATATATTTCGATATCAAGGGTTTTAAAGACAAATATTCAAAATTCCTAGTCCACTTGTTTGTTTTCCAAGGTATAAGACAAACCTTATTGTGTCCATATGTTGTTGACGCCCTGCTTTTTCAAATGGTTTATGTTGATGTTTTTTGTATTTGTGGCCAAATGAGCCTGTTCATGCCATGTATGACGTGAAAGCCTCAGGGTGTCTTTGGTTGCATAACTCCAAGATTGTTACAGCACATACCCTCATGAGAGTTAAGCCTGGCTGTACTAGTTTGGCCAGGAGGGATTCCTCCTTGCATGGTCACTGGCAGGTGGTTATCTCGTATCAAATCAGCTCTCAATTAACATAAGAAAAAAGGGATTGTGGAGGATCGACGGGTACCGCTTAGACATTGTTTACTAATAGAGGGCGCAAGTAGCTATAATTAGTGTAGTGGGGCTTTAAAGAAAGGCTTAGTCGATCCTGGGAAGGTGAAAAAAATCTTGTATGAGCATTTTTGTTCTGTTTTTGTTATTGTGGAAGAATAGCGTAGGAAAAATTCCTCCTAAAAGAAAGATCTTGTGAAAATGGCCTCGCATTTGAAAAAATTCAAGAAAGAACTTAATTGTTTAGAACAAACCTTTTGGGCTACATTTTTGTGTAGTCCAGTATATACATTAAGGTGTACATTGCATGTGGCTTTCAACAAAACTATGTCAATTTCTTATCAAATTGATGAAATCAAAACCTTGTGATATACCTTGGTACTTAAGTGATCAAGTTTTTTTTTATCACTTCCAGACAGTCCTTTCACAATGCAATAACACGACCAGAACTCAACTTTATCTTTAAATAGCTGTATGACGGGCGTGTTTAATTCATACCCACATGAATTTGCAGAAAATAACTGAGGAAGTTAATGGGCGTTATTAATTGGCGTGATAAGTTTTGAATTCGAAAAGGGTACTGTCCATGCAGAATTGTAGATAGCGGTTTAATGAAATAATTTGATTCTTCAGAACCACAAGTACCACAAGGAAATTAAATAGTTTGAGAACATGCTATATGCATCACCTTGAAAAATTATAATGTCTTGCAGAGTATTTTACACTCTGTTACATTACTGGTAGACCACATACTTTTGCTGAAGCTATTGTTGGCTAAGAAATACCACAAGAAAGAAAGTTATGTGTTTTTATATTCATGAATGACGTCAGTGTGTAAAACAGCTCTCCACTGATTGACACACTGATTTTTATGCCTCCGCCACCGAAGGTGGTGCCGGAGGCATCATGTTTTCGGGTTGTCCGTCCGTACGTCCGTACGTCCGTCCCGTTTGACCGTTATCACAATATCTCAAGAACCATTTAAGATTTAAACTTAAGACTCGGGAATAGTATTTATCACCATAGGAAGACGATCTGATTAGATTTTGGAGTACGTAGGTCAAAGGTCACAGGTCACAGAGGTCAACTTATGAAATTCCTTGTATTGAGTTTGTTAGCGCGATATCTCAAGAACCATTTGAGATTTAAACTTAAAACTTTAGGATAGTATGTATCACCATAGGAAGACGATCTGATTAGATTTTGGAGCACGTATGTCAAAGGTCAAGGGTCACAGAGGTCAACTTATGAAATTCCATACATTGAGATTGTTATCATGATATCTCAAGAACCACTGGAGATTTAAACTTCAAACTTAGTGATAGTGTGTATCACTATAGGAAAACAATCTGATTACATTTTGGAGCACGTAGGTCAAAGGTCAAAGGTCACAGGGCTCATTATGTATGCAAAAACAGCTTGTGATCGCGTTATCTGAACAACCGATTGATGGATTCCTGCCAAACTTTGGTCATGTATGTATCTTGCAGAGCTGATGAACTGATTAGATTTTGGGGTCACGAGGTCAAAGGTCACAGCGCACATTATGTATGCAAAAACAGCTCGTGATCGCGTTATCTGAAGAACCGATTGATGGATTCCTGCCAAACTTTGGTCATGTATGTATCTTGCAAAGCCAATGAACTGATTAGATTTTGGGGTCACGAGGTCAAAGGTCACAGCGCACATTATGTATGCAAAAACAGCTCGTGATCGCTTTATCTGAACAACCGATTGATGGATTCCTGCCAAACTTTGGTCATGTATGTTACTTGCAGAGCTGATGAACTGATTAGATTTTGGGGTCATGAGGTAAAGGTCAAGGTCATGCGGCTCATTATGTATGCAAAAATAGCTTGTGATCGTATTATCATTAGAACAGATTGATGGATTCCTGCCAAACTTTGATCATTTATGTATCTTGCAGAGCCAATGAATGGTTCATAAGATCAAAGGTCATGGGCTCATTATGTATGCAAAAATAGCTTGTGGACGCATTCTCATTAGAACTGACAGATGGATTACTATTTAACTCAGGAAATCTTGCAGAGCCAATGAACTGAGTAGATTTTAGGGTCATGAGGTCAAAGATCAAAGGGTCATATATGTTTATGAGAAATTGCTTGTAATCACGATATTCTGAGAACATGTTAATGGATTACAATTGAACTTGAATTTGAAAAATTTCTTCCGTTTCGGTTTGTAAAATTGCTCTATGACGGAGGCAGCATTTTCGACTGCGCGCAGTCGAATTCCATCTAGTTTTTCTTTGTATCTATCATTTATTTTTGACTTGTTATAAGATGAAGGATTTTTGTCTTTTTGCCAAGAAATAGCAATGCATTAACTCTCAAACATATTCATTTGGATGTTATTGTGCCTGTACAGTGTAGGTTTTCATATATTATTTTATCTTCTTTATTCTCATCGCTTGTCTCCTTTTCTCTCACTCTCTCTCTGTCTCTCCCTTTTTATCTCTCTCTCTCTCTCCCTTTTTATTTCTCTTTCTTTTTATCTCTCTCTTTCTTTTTATCTCTCTCTCTCTCTCCCTTTTTATCTCTATTTCTCTCTCTCTCTATCTTTTTATCTCCATCTCTCTCTCTACCTTTTTATCTCTATCTCTCCCTCTCTCCCTTTTTATTTCTATCTCTCCCTCTCTCCCTTTTTATTTCTATCTCTCTCACTACCTTTGTATCTCTCTCTCACACACTTTTTATCTCTATCTCTCTCTCCCTTTTTATCTCTATCTCTTTCTATTCCCCTCTCCCACACTCTGCTCATTTAATCTCTCTATCGTCTGCCAACATAATTTAAAATAAATCAGGAAAGTGCGGCACCATGTCTTCAACAAGCGCTCTCCCCTGCAGCCCACCAATGGTCCCACAGTGTTATGCCAAGAACTGCAGCACACCGTCGACAAGATGGGCCAGGATTTTACCAACGGTAAGACAATAGGGCAGTTCTCAAACGAGCGAGTCAATTGAGGCTTGCTGGATTTATCAAATATGCCAGGGTGTGTTTCACAAAGATCCCAAGTTGAACTTATCTCTAGGAAAGCTGTAGCATCTATGAAAATATTTTATAAAAGTTGAAATAGAAGGCATAAAATGATGATTCAAATCATTCATATTTTCTGTTTTCATGTTCTTGATGTGGAATTTATAAAAAGTCTAAAATACTACAATTTTCATTTTTGAATATATTTTATTTTAAGGCTACAAATGGCTCTCCATAATTTATTAGTCCAACTTGGAGTTAAGTTTGTCTTAGGATCTTTGTGAAAGACCCCCTGGACCCTTTCAAATAAAAATTGATTTGCAATCAATCGTAAAAATATATTGTGTCTTCAGTCGCGCTGCAGTTAATTGTATCTTACCATATTTGTATCTATCTGTAATATAAAAGTAATTGTAAGTCACTATTCATTGTGAATTTACTATCGACTGAAGGAGCTGTGATTTGCTTTTGGAGATACAGCTGTTAACACAATAAGAATATAGATTTAAGTAAAGCCTGTGAACAATATCATGCGGTAAGCTACCAGAAAAAAAAATCAATTCTAGAAGTTTTAAAAGCCATGAACAAAATAAATGTAGCGTGCTTCGGATTTCTGTAACTTGTAGTATTCAGATAAGAAAACAGCTCTCATAATGAATATGTTACATCATGATTTGTATTAAGCAACTTATTTGCAATTGAATGGTTTCTTCATTTCATTGATTTATGTTGCACTATATCTGGAGATATCTGGAGATATCTGGAGATCTGTATGAAGTTTACTGATTACAAACACGTCACAATTTCATTTTCTCTTAAATCATGTATTGTCAGTTCCTGTTAAATTTCTACTATATTTTCTTTGGTTTTATATTCTCTACTTTTTCATTTGATTCCCCCTCTCCTCCGTCACTCCTCAACTTGTTCTCTTTTCTCTATTTCTCTATTTGTGTCTCTGCTATATGTTTCCTCTGTTGTCTTCCCTCATTTCCCTTTTTCTTATCTCTTTTCTTATCTCTTTTATTCTTTTTCCAACACATTCACCTCCATCTATCCCATCTCTCTCTCTCTCTCTCTCTCTCTCGCTCCCTTTCTTTCATTCCCATCTTTCTCTCTCTACACGATGATACATTACATTTGTCTCTTTTTATATCGTTATTAATTCTCCACTCTTCCCTTCTCTTTCCCCTCCATCCCACCTCACCCCCTAGGTCATCAAGGCCTCAATAGAAGACAATCGGTTGCTAGGATACACTCCATGACCATAGAAGCCCCCATCACAAAGGTGAGTGGACTGTTAGCATCTAATTACTTGATAACGAGGATAGTCATTAGCTTCTATTGTGTGACAAGCATATGCAAAGTGCATTGAAGAGTGGACATGGTTATGGTTTAGATTGGAAACAAAGAATATCTGTGGAGTACAAATAGAAATGGATTTTAAGGGGCAAGGACAGATTTTAAGGGGCAAGGACGAATTTGATGGTCATGATGATGATGATGATGATGATGATGGCCTACATGATAAGTTTGAAAACAGAAGCTCCCTTCACAAAGTAGAGTGGACTGTTATCATGCAGCTAGCCGGTCAGGTTTCTAATTACTTGTTCCAACGGTGATAATGAGGACAATCATTAGCTTCCATTGTGTGACAAGCATATGCAAATTGCATCGAAGAGTGGACATGGTTATGGTTTAGATGGGAAACAAAGAATACCTGTGGAGTACAAATAGAAATGGATTTTAAGGGGCAAGGACGGATTTGATGGTCATGATGATGATGATGATGATGATGATGACCTACATGATAAGTTTGAATCAGAAGTTCCCATCACAAAGATGAGACTGTTATCCAGCCCATCAGGTTTCTAATTACTTCTTCCAATGATGTTAATGAGGACAGTCATTAGCCTCTATTGTGTGACAAGCATATGCAAATTGCATTGAAGAGTGGACGGGGTTATGGTTTAGATGGGAAACAAAGAATATCTGTGGAGTAAAAATAGAAATGGATATTAAGGGCAAGGATGCCTTCGATGTGGTTGTGGTGATAATGATGATGATGATGATGATGATGACGATGACGACGACTACGAAGACGGTTATGATGATGTTTTCAATGATGATGTAACCGGTGGGGATGGAGGATGAGGAGGGGGAGCAAGTGGAATAACGAAGGGGAATGAATATAAGGAGGAGGATGGCAATGATGATAATGGAAGCATACATGATTAGTTCAACAGCAGATGTTCCAATCTTTTGATGAGAGTGTTGTCAGGTGTTTCAAGTTCTAATTTCTTTTTACAATTAGGTTAATGAGGATTACCATTAGCTGCTTTTGTATCACAAACCTATGAAAAGTGCATTGGAGAATGAAAGTGTTGATGGTATGGAATAGAAACAATTGAGAGAGGTTATGAGAGCCTGGGGGATGATGGTGAAAACAAAAATGAGAGATGATATTGAACATGGTAGTCTCATGAGGAGGATGATGATGAAAATAATCGTGTTAAAGATTTTAATAGTAATGAAAATGATGGTGATGATAGGATGCTATGGAGGATAATGGTAATGATGAGGAGGATGATTTTGTAATATATAAGATGAAGATAATGTTACTGTGGTTATGATGATGATAGATGAATGGATGGATGGATGAGTAGTTGGTAATGATGGTGGTGGTGGTGATTATTATGATGATGGTGAAGGTTGATGAGAAACAAGCAAAAGAAGAGTAAGAAAAATAAGAGGAGGAAGAGGAAGAAGAAGAAGGAAAAAAAAAGAGAAGAATATGGGGATGATGAAGAGGATGATGAAGTGGATGATGAACATTTGATTATGATTGATAATAATGAAGAATACTGACCCAGAATATACATAAATTTACTTGTAACTCCCATGTATTTGCTTGTGCCTAAATTGCAATCCACATGCTTGACTTCAATTTTCAGGTTATAAACATCATCAACACGGCCCAGGAGAACAGTCCTAGCACTGTGGTCCAGGCCCTGGACCGGGTCCTGGACATCTTGAGGTCCTCAGAACTCTACAACCCAGCTCAGGTCAAGGAAGATGACCAGATCACCACTGACCTCGTGGGGGGACTCATGGCTGTAAGTAATCAAGAAATCATCATTATTACCAATCAGTGAGAGATATTGCTTAGTAATGCACTGTAAATATGTTTTATTACAATCAGCTATGTGTAGCTCTCCATATAATGATTGCAGTGCCCTTATGAAGCTACCCTGGGTAAACAACAACAATTTATCGTTTTGTTTTGTTTTTGTTACTATTTTTATCATCATTATGATTAAGATGATTATTATCATCATTATAATTATTATTAATAATAATAGTATTATTAATATAACTAGCAGGACCCGCGGAAATCCGCGGGATTCTAGAGGGGGGCGGGGGGGTGTAAATAGATATATAGAGACTGTCTAAATTAAAACCACCAAGAACTTTATTTGCCATTCAGGCCATTAAAAAAATATACATGTTTAGCGTCCCCGCCCACTTCCTTTTTGGGGGCCACCTCCTATATATTTTTTTTTTTTAAACAGCTTCCCCGCCCGTTTCCTTTTTGGGGGCCGCCTTCTATTTTTTTTTTTTTTGAAATTTTTTTGAATTTTTTTTATTTTTTTAAATTTTTTTATGGAAAAAAAACAGCGTCCCCACCCGCTTCCTTTCTGGGGGCCGCCTCTCCTATTTTTTTTTATTTTTTTTGAATTTTTTTTTTGATTTTTTTTTTTTGATTTTTTTTTTAAAGAAAAAAAAACATGAAAAGCACTGCTAAAATGTTTTTCTGATCTTAAAAAAGAAAAGAAAAAAATTGTCGGCTGCCATCTTGAAAAATAGCCTGAATGTCAGGGAAAATGTACGGAGCAGCCATTTGAAAGAAAAAAAAAAAAAAAAAAAAAAAAGGGCCTCGATCCTCCTTCCCATTTTTCAGAAAAAACAGGACGCTAAACATGTTTTTTTTTAAATTTGGCCTTATATAAAAAAAATTAAAAAAACGATCCAACTGTACCAGTAGTTATTCTTTAAGCCACTGGAACTGCGTAGAGTTCCGTAGTGTGGCGTACCGACTACGCAGAAATTAGGCTGCGTATTAATGGGAAAATAGTCCCTGCGTAGGTTATGCGTAGGCTGGCGTACAGGTTTGCTTATATGGTTGCTTACTGTGTGGAAAGCTTTTCTGCTTTGACGATCTGGCGTAGGGTAGCATAGTGTTGCGTAAAAAGGCGTACTTTCTGCGTCAAGTTTCTACGCTGAAAGTACGCGAAAAAAATTAAACATGTTGACTTGTTTTCGTTCATCTTGCGTACCCCTTTCTGTCTCTCAGCATATAGTAACGTAGGCCAGCGTAGTTGGTAGCAACACTACGCAACTCTACGTATTGACCCCACGCCAATTAGTGACCCGCAAGTGTCACAAATAAAGTATTAAAAATATGCTCATCTGACCCTAATTAAACGCCTAAAACCCCCAAGCTTTCGGGGGTTTATGGCCCCTTGAAACCCGTGGACCCCACGCCTATATTGTATATACACTCAACTCGCTGCGATCTGATCTCTCAACTTTGAAGAACGTAACCCCCGAGCTTTTGGGGGTTTATGGCCCCTTGAAACAAATATACACTCAACTCAGGGTTTCAGGTTTCCTACTTCATAATTGCCTATTTAAAAAAAAAAACATTTTTCTAGTTCAATAACTAAGTTTTCATGCATTGATTTGATGCAAGAACTGTAACATAATAGACCCTAGATTGTGATTATTTCTGACCATAAATTTCGATAATTATTTTTCAAAGTAAAATTTTCACAAGAAAATCAGACAGTCGTTTAAAAACGTAGACATTAGTAATACTTTTACTAATTCTAAGCTCAGGTTTCGTAAATCTATTCACGAAACTATATTGAAATCGCGGCAATAATGATGCAAACCAACAGATAACAATTTCAAAGTGTCAAATCTCTTCGACTCGAGCTCAGCTCAGCTCTACTCACACACATAACACTCCAGCGTAACTCCACGAAGCTCAAACACAGGCGCCGCAGGCCTCGGACGCCTGCGGTGCCCGGTGCCGGTGTTGGAGATTCCTCGAGTTACTGCACTGTGATGTGTGGTGACTGAAGTTAGCTTGCGACTGAATTGTCAGTCCAATGGTTTTCTTGTCAAAACTTTCCCTTTAGAAAATGATAATCAAAATTGAGTACACATGGCCGTAATAATCACAAAATAAGCTTTGATTTCATACCTCCATTCACGAAAACTATATAAAAATCGCGGCAATCATGATGGAAATAGGTCTCTAAGTTTGGACGTCGACGGGAAGCCCCGTGTATCTCTTGTGCAGCTACTACATGCAAATCCATGCAAAGCACATCCTAGCTACAACAAAGCACATCCTATAGAAAGATGCTTTACTCTCGGTAATCCCGCCCTTTGCATTGAGCATTTAATACGCAACTTAATGTGAGTGGATAGTCATCGGTCGTGTGTCTACGGATGTCATGTTGAATATCCATGAGGTATCTCTGTCGTCACGCATATCCTGCATTATGCATGTCGCGTCTGTTTTCGCCCTGGACGTCGACACGGAGGAGGACCTCGGGCGGAGTATAGCCAATTCGCTAGAGTAGACTCTCCCGCGGACGATGGCACCGGTCACCGGTACCCCGAGGGGAGGGTTCAGGAGGAGATAGCCGCACCAACTTGGGTCGGCGATCTCATTAAAAAACAATAGAATACAAAGGCTCGCCGAGACGTCGCGCCCCCCGCGGAGCCTTAGCGTATTATTATTATAGATGTATTATTTCATTGTTATTAAAATCTAGCTAGGTGTATCCTAGAATTCCCTGTTGCAATTTGTAGTTGTTGAAAAACATGGGCCCCATTGCATAAAACTTACCATTCATTAAAGGTAACTTTGCTATTTATGGTATTCAATGGAAACCTTGATTTGATTGGCTGTTGTGGAATTCGATATTTTGATTCCCCTGGCCTGTAAGCTCATAGCCATTATGTCATAAAATACATGTTACACAACCCATGCATGAAATCCATAGGCCTGTATTCTGAAGTCTGGCTTAATTAAACCTGGGTTTAATTAAGTCAGACTTCATGTTTAAGATCTATTTCAGTTTCTGAAAGCAAGGTTTAGTCTAAATTTAAATCCAGGTCTAAATTTAAGCCAAGGTTAAACTATAATGTAGACAGAGTTTTTTTAGAGTACATGTATCTGTAAGCAATATTAAAGATAAAGACCAGTTATGGTCATGCGGTTGAATTGTGAAAGAAACGTTGTGGAATCGATCAGAAAAGGTTGGTCACCTAGCTGTGTGTTCTGCAAGGTTCTGGAATCATCAAAATGATAAGAAATTTGGCCAAGTCTTGGTAAAGTTACAAGCACTGTACACAGAAAGATGTATACGGGACTACGCACACGTGCGCGACACGTCGGTTATATCTATCAGGTCCAAATAGATATAATAATTTCCCAAATATATCAATTAGTAGGCGGTTTCTCTGCAAAATTTGTATGATCACGTTTTAATCAAAACTGATTATTTCACATGATTGGTAATAAGAGCTTCCATTTCATTTTTTGAGAGGGGGCGTTTCCAAAACTGGTCTCTACCTTTAACATGCAAGAGATGTGTAGTCCACTCAGCTTTTAATGCTAATGAAAGCTTCATCAAGCTAGCTGTGTTTGATACAAACTTAAAGCTCCGTCAGGTGAAAGGTTAAAGCTTGTAATAAAAGCAATTAAGGAGTAGATGCAGTGGGTAATTAGAAAGATAAACACAGAGAGGCAATACTTACATCATCTCCTATTCTTTGATCCATTATTTATATTGTGCTTTAAAATTGTAGCTGCCTTTAATATCGAAGCTTGTCTTTGTGAAAAAATAAAAGAATATACTTTTCTTGTACTAACACATAAAACAAGAAGAACTGGTTCGCTTTGGTCGCTATATTCTAAAGCCTCTATTTTCAAGGATGTTTACAATATGTTGGTAAAGATGGAACAGCGTTTTAAAAAACTTTCAAAGAAAAGTGTAATTTGTGGGATTCAATAAGGAAAGAGTACCCTTCGTATTGCTGCATCAAATTCATATACTGAAACTAGAAAAAGTTTTAAAAATTACAATTTATTTAACACTTCGATTGCTGTCCTCGCCTCTCTGCATGTTTGCTCATTTGCCACATGTGCAATTATGCAGAAAACAATAGTCGCCAATCGACAGATGGACTGTCATGTGCAACACAGTGGCTTCGTTCAAATTACCCATTTTATATATGTTCTTGATTAGCTCCATGACAATCCTCTTAACACCAGTATAGATTGATCTTGCACTGAAACGGATAAATAATCTCAAATCTTTTTGTAAATCTATCCGCTGATAATTATATTGCAGCACAGGATGATTATTTATGTGCCATATAATGAGTTAAATAGTATTTCGCCCACAGAGTCTCTTCAAGTAAAGCTTTATTTATAATCTCTGTAGCAGAATATCAAATCTTTTCCTATATACATTTATATATATATATATATATATATATATATATACCTGGTGGCCTTTATAATCTGCAAGTTATTTGGCATTAAATATGACTAATTGTTACCCCTTCTATTAATACTTGTTTTACACATGCATATTGCAGACACCCAAGAATAAGCCTTGTATATAAACACTTTTATACGACTTCACATCATACCATGAGTAAAGGCACATGCCGATCTACTTTCCTTATGTGAACAGATTGTTATATACACTTAATGACTAAATTGTTCATACCGTCCCTTACCAAGTTTTGTAATTTTTCAAGTATTGGAATTTTTTTCCTCCCTGATTTGTTTATCTTAAGAATGTGACATACTGAAACTCACATCCAAAATTTTTCAACAAAGGCCCTAATTCAACCAGTCCACTTATCATGCTTGAGTTATGAAAAACACCAACATTTTTTTTTTTTACAAGGGGTATGAATAATTCTGCTGTTGACTGTACATTTATGAATATACTGACAAATGTGTCGCATGAATTATGACTAATTGTTACTCCTTCTATGTATACCTCTTTGTTTTGACTATAAATATTGCGGAGACCCAAGAATAAGCTTTTTAAACAACATTCTTATATGACTTCAATCTATAATTATGACATGTATAAAGGCGCATTATGAGGCAGTACTCTTGTAATGTGAGCTACTTTCCATAGATGGGAATCTCGGTAAGTTAATGATTTTGCGACAGGATCGATTAATGCATAAAGCATGATATCTGAAAGGCAATATCATGAGGCATTTTCTTTCATCACCCATTCTTATCTTACTCTAATGCAGTTGAAACACATATTGTTCTGGAATATATATAGTTGTATACCAAGATCAATCAATGTACATCTGTGGAGTAGAAATGCTTGATAATTGAAATCAGCCAAGATTTTATATCCTTGAATCTCTTTCTCCGAACAATGGGCTATTTTTGTCAATGTATTCATGGAAAGAAGTTATAAAATGTTTTATTTTGAGGGAAGAATACACACCAATGTCCTGTTGTCTTCAATTCCTCTGTTATTGATTACAATATATTCATAAGAAATAAGAATTGGAAGATGTCTTGTATTTTCACAGGAATGAACATTTTGTTGATGAACACTCAGAACAGCAACCTAGTTATCCCATCACAGCTATATGAATACACTATTCCATTAGTGAAGCACTATTGAATTCAGTGCTCCTGTATATATCAGTAGGCTCACCTAATGAAAAGTCATTAATGAAATTGCTTTCAATTTTCATCATTTCCTAAGCGTAAATTGCAAACGAATGCTTCAGATAAAAAATTAAAAATAACTTAAATTGTACCAATCACCAAGACAAGCTTTGCTCTTGATGTAAAGGATTCCATGGGGCTATACTGTATCATAATCATGAGCTTCAAATATTACTTCAACAAAGAAACATTGCAATTTAAATACGTTCTCAGTGAATAGTTCAATGTCTCGTTGAGTATAATAATTAATGCATGCGTACAAACTTGCGTAAAATAGGGCGTACATGGTTTTATTTTCTTTATACTCCTTAACCCTTTACTTATAGAAGTTTTTTTTGTTTACCGGTAATTTTATTTATTCTAGCTAACCACAATTTTTTTTCTTGAGGTGATTGGTGTAGTCAAAATGTATATTCAGAAAGAGAATATTACTTGTAAAGTTAAATCTACATGTAACATATATGTATAATCTATAATAACACTTTATCTGCCTCAGTCGACTATAAATAGAACAAATAGTGGATTGCTACAGTCAACCATTGTCACACAAACAATATGCATACTTCAGAATCTTGTGGAAGGCTAGGAATTTCAGTTAACAACTAAATTATACTCCTTGTAAATTTGATTTTTTTTTTTGGTGGGTATATCGGAACTCAATAATGAAAGGTGGAGTGCTTGAATTTGGGCCTTTGTTGAATACCCTCAGATGCAATCATCAATATGTCACATGAAACATAGATCAGGACAAATCATTTTTTTCACGTACTTAAAAAATTCTAAAAATTGGTATGAAAGGGTATGAATAATTTCAATTTTCGGTTTTATTACAAATATACCAAATAAAAAAAAAAGTCTAAAGACTAACAATAATTGACTTACAATGTATCATATAAAAATGCATTAAAAACAGTAGATTTAAAAATTCAGTAATAAGTTAAAGTACATTGCTCACATTGTATCATATAAAAATACATTAAAAACAGTTGAATTAAAAATTCAGTAATAACTTAAAGTATGAAGAAAAAAAAAAGATTGTAAGTTATAAAATGGTGATAATCAGTTTGTCAGTGAATTGAGAAGAGAGAAGAAATAAAGAGTGAAAAGTGGAAGAGAGGGAGAGGGAAAGGATAACGAGAGAAAAAAAAAGAGTTCAGTTCATGACAAAAAAAGTAAGCAAATGAACGAGAATTGAGGTGTTATCATAAATCTTTAGCAGCTTGAGAGTTCATAATATATGTACATGTACCTGTATGAATTTAGGGTGTGTGTTTAAATGCTAAACCAATGTTAACTCAAAAATACATGTGCAATATATAATATAAGACAATACATAGCCATTGCGGCTCGGTGTAAAAAAAAAATGTCTGTTCGCTGGAGCGCTTTAAAGATTTGATGTGGTGAAAGTTCAATTTTCTCACAGTAATATTTAAATATTAATTTTTTGTATTAATTACCAGAGCTCTTTTTCAATCCCTTTTTTTTTTGCTGCTGCTGCAGCTTGTTACCAAAAGTGATGGTGTTTGTTAAATTAAGAACAACATCTTGTGATACATATTTCATCATGACTTTGTGTTTGTGACATTTTTTGTTATCACAGGAGGTTTTCTTTTTTAAGGACCCCTCCTCTGTAAATTTCATAGATTTATTCGAAAATGTTATTATTGTCTGCTCTGTGCATTTGTAGTGAATTGTGAAAAAAAATATTGTGCTGATGTTTTTATAATTTGATGTTCATTGGTTCCACTGCTTTTGCTTTTACCCCACCCTTTCATCACCCCCTCCCCCTTCATCACCCCCTCCCCCTTCATCACCCCTCTCCCTACATCACCCCCTTCATCACTCCCAATAATCACCCTCCCCCCCCACTCATCACCCACCTTCATCACTCCAACCCTTCATCACCCCCTTCATCACCACCTCCATCACCCCCTCCCCCTTCATTACCCCTCCTTCATCACCCCCCCCTTCATCACCCCCTCCCCTTCATCACCCCCTTCATCACCCCCTCCCCTTCATCACCCCATCTTCTTAACCTTCCTCATCACCCATCCCCCTTCATCACCACCCCCCTCACTATCTCCCCACCCCCCTCCCCCTTCATCACCCCCCTTCATCACCCCACCCTTCATCACCCCTCCCTCTTCATCACCCCACCCTTCATCACCCCTCCCTCTTCATCACCCCACCCTTCATCACCCCTCCCTCTTCATCACCCCACCCTTCATCACCCCTCCCTCTTCATCACCCCCTCCCCCTTCATCATCCCCCTTCATCACCTCCTTCATCGCCCCCTTCATCACCCCCCAAACCCCACCCGAAACCACTATCACTTGAATCCCTTATGCACTATGTCCTCACCTTGCATCATGTCATGGCTGGATCCATCGTCGTCATCCTCATCATCCATCGCCATGGTAACACAGGGTCGCAATGCCAGCATGACCTCACTCAAAGAGGTAGATTAACACTTATGCTTGAAGCAATAATCATCTGCATGCTAGCTTTTTATACAGTAGATAGCTACAGAAAGTCATATGCTTGAGTTTTGTAATGATTATATTTAACCAACCTGGTCATATCATGGACCTTCTTAGTAGGTCCATGGTCATATCCTGAAAACTATGTTACCTTCCATGCTAGTGAAACTACGTTATTTGTCATCACAAATTGCAACTGCACCGAATAAACACTTTTTACTGGTGCTTGTGCAAATGTCTCTCTCAACTACTTGCATACACTGCCAGCTTTATGCAAATATTAATCAATGACTTGTCCTTATGTAGATTATTATAACAATTAAATTACTTTTTCTTACATTAAAATATAAAATAGTTTTCAAACTGCCAACCCTGTTTTCTTACGTAGATTATGTAGATTACTTTTTGTTACATAAAAGATAACATATCTTTGAAAATATCAACCCTGTTCTCTTCCTTAGTTGGCATGCAGTAGATATGATATGCTTTCCTTGATAACAAACATGCTTCACAAATATAATGTTGTGAGACAGGTTTCAAATATGGTCTATTTTTTATTGTTCATCTTGATATAAATACTATTCAGTATTAAACAACCTCACAATTTGTGAACTATTTTAGACATTCAAAAAGAAAGAAAGACAAGCATTCTGTCTAAAAACAAGCCTTTTTCTCGTCTAAATACATGCATCAAAATTGATGTGGTTTAAACTACTTAATGCACCAAATAGATTGCAGTTGCTTTCACAAATCTTCACTTTGCATGTTTCTCTCTTGCTTATTTTTGCTTTAATGTTGCTGTGCATAATTAGATATTTAGATAATCTTTGAAGGTTTCCATGGTGAGGAAAGATTTGAGAGAGGTTTGCAGTTACACAATGTATTCTTTAGACAGGGTTAGTTGGCCCTCTAGAGAAAAGAAAATTAGGTATTTAGATGTTGTTATACTAATCTTAAGTTACTATTACTAATGATAAGTCTACCAATCTCAAGTTTAGTTATATGCAACCAGTCTTTCTCCAAGGCTCTTCGGTCGGATTTCAATCAGACATTTATCAAAAAGTGATTTGGACATGTATTCTAAAAGTTGTCCGGAAACCTTCATTTCTGTTAGAAATCCGAGAGTGGGTGGGGGGGGGGGGGCTGGGAAACATCTCATTATGGCATCTTTTATCAATAATGTCAAACTTATCTATTAAGGCCACCCAGGGAAAACCTGAACAAGTGGCCACTGTAGACAGGTGGCCTTTGTAGACAGGTTCTTCAACCTTTCTTGAGCGAGGCAAGTATGGGTGACCACAAAAGGCAGGTGGCCTTTATAGGGAGGTGGTCATTAAGGCATTTTAACTTATAGTGTCATCTTAAGATGTTGTAAACAAGAGACTTGATCATGAAAATGTGCATATTTGGTCAGACTACTTATAACAATAACTGTTTTAACTGAAGCTGTGTTGTTATTTTTCAAGGAATATGGGAGAAAATCTCTTTCAATAATCTTTCATTGAGGTTTTATAGTTAATCTTGTGAATATCTATGTGTGCTTGATCTGCTTTGGCAGCATGCTCTTTTTAATGAAGGTTTCATTTATAATCATCTAACATTTATCATCTCTTGTATTTTCTTTTTGCCAGCACCTGCATATATATTGTATCTTTTTTAAAGAAGAATTTTCAACATAGCATTCCTTGAATAATGATGTTGTAAACAGGAAACCCAATTTACCCAAGGCATATTTTCTGATATTTTATTTCACACTTATGGCATTTGGAGTTCAAACAAAGATTAAAGCCTGTTTACAGGAAGACACAAATATTGTCATAACTCAAAATGAAGGAAGGCTCAAATAATTAATATTTCTTCAGTAAAGGTATTACACAGAATTCATTAGTCAAAGGTCATAAATTTGGTCATAGATTTTGTACATGTATATTTCATTATGCATCAAGCTGGTCTAAGACCAAATCAATAGTAGTTTTTCTATTAATTTTGTAATAGATGTGTTTCTAACTATTTAAAAAATGAATATTTCCATAAAGTATCTTTGATTTATATACCAACACTCTGTTTTACCTTTAAGAAAATCATTGCCAATTTAGAGATGTCAATGAATTAACGATTAAGTCCGTGTTACTTATGAATGGCACAATGTACTGAATAAGAAATGGACTCAAATTTTACAGTGATTATTGGTTATTATTGCTCATGTCAAATTTGTAATTCAGAGCTTTCTGGATAAATAAAAAGTCACTAAACGGCAACACCAAACTTTTATGGGTTAAAGATGGATTCCCTTGTGTTGTGTGAATGGGGCCTTTTTTGGTAGCTATTTGTACCAGCAAAACTGGTTGGCAGTATCAAACCCCTCAAGGTCATATTTAATTGATCACACAATGGTCGGAGAAGAGAGAATTAACCCTTTACATGCCACATATACCAACTGGCACATTCACTGCTTTGCCATAAGTTCTGATCAGCACAAACAGTATAGGCTTGCAACACTTATTGGCAGTATCAGGACTCAGAATTTGACATTTAATTGATCACACAATGGTCGGAGAAGAGAGAATTAACCCTTTACATGCCACATACACCAACTGGCACATTCACTGCTTTGCTATAAGTTCTGATCAGCACAAACAAAGGCTTGCAACACTTATTGGCAGTATCAGGACTCAGAATTTGACATTTAATTGATCACACAGTGGTCGGAGAAGAGAGAATTAACCCTTTACATGCCACATACACCAACTGGCACATTCACTGCTTTGCTATAAGTTCTGATCAGCACAAACAAAGGCTTGCAACACTTATTGGCAGTATCAGGACTCAGAATTTGACATTTAATTGATCACACAGTGGTTGGAGAAGAGAGAATTAACCCTTTACATGCCACATATACCAACTTGCACATTCACTGCTTTGCCATGAGTTCTGATCAGCACAAACAGTAGGCTTGAAACACTTATTGGCAGTATCAGGACTCAGAATTTGACATTTAATTGATCACACAGTGGCTGGAGAAGAGAGAATTAACCCTTTACATGCCACATATACCAACTGGCACATTCACTGCTTTGCCATAAGTTCTGATCAGCACAAACAGTAGGCTTGAACACTGGTTGGCAGTATCAGGGCTCTGAAAGTGATATTTAAATGATCACACAGTGGTTGGAGAAGAGAGAGAATTAACCCTTTACATGCCACATTTATCAACTGGCACATTCACTAGCTGCTTTGCCATAAGTGCCATAAGTGGTGATTGGCACAAACAATAGGCATGAGTTAACAATATGATTATACCAATATATTGTGAATGCTTCATGTACTGTAAAAGTAGAAATATTTGCGGTTCATTAATTTTCGCAGATTATGCACTAAGATCGGCAAGCACAAATTTAAAACTCGCGAAAATATAAGCAATACTTCTATTGAACGGGCTGAATTATGTGCAACATGAATTTAAGAACCAACAAATATGTTTTGGGGTCGCTCAGCACGAAAAATTAATCATGCGAAAATAACAGCGTTTACAGTAGTTGCCCATTTCCAGGCTTAATGTGACAATCAATTTAAGTTATGTCAAATCTCAAGAAAAAAATTAGATCAGAAATCTCAAAATACAAGGAAAGGATTTGTTGAAAAATTTCTTTGTGAAAGAAACATGGTATAGCGTACAGGGCATCTTATATGTGGCATATAAAGGGTTGTGGTAATAATATTTCATTATTCCAAATGACACAAGTTTCCAAGAATATTGCTATCGTAACATCATTAAGGTCATAATTTAATGGGATTAATTGGAATATTCTTGGAATATATAGTTCATCTTAAACAAGGCCAGCTTTTTTATGAAGCAGAACATTTCTTGGTGTGCTCATAAGCAATATAATTAACCAGACTAACCTATCCTGAATATTATGACCTTTTAGATCAGTCTTTCTATCTCTCTCTCTCTCTCTCTCTCTCTCTCTCTCTCTCTCTCTATATATATATATATATACATACATATATATATATAATACATGTATCTGTATCGATCTGTATATCTATTTATCTATTTATCTTCCAATCTATCTAGGTATACTTAGTTAACAACTGAATTATTCATAGCCCTTGTAAATTTGATTATTTTGATATTTTAAAAAAAAAATCTGTTTACTTCCTGCTATTAAAGTATTAGCTCTCTGAAGACACCACAGTATGGAATGTAATCATGTTTATGTACAGGCATATTCAAATCGTGATTGTTTCTTTACCTTAGTGCCTTTTTAAAGTTAACCCTTTCAAGACAGAGTTAATTTTTAGGGCTAAATTGATCACATATTGTTCTTTAAATTGGCAACAATAATATTTTTCTTTTATCGCTAAAATGATATAATAAAAAACGAATGTCTCTGAAACAAAATACATGGGCAAGAATGTTGTCAAACAGTTTTTTAAATGGCCAGTTTTGATCAAAAACATAATTTCAATCTCTTAATGTGTTGCCAAATGAAGGATTTCAAAGCCTATTTTCCTTTTAAAAATTCCTAGCATCAAATGCAATCTAGTCATTAAGCTAAAATGGATGCATTGTTTGCTGAAATGTTTGCCCTTTCTACCCACGTATCTGCTATATTTTTTTGGACTCTGAATAAAAAGTTATTGTGCCAAACCACAAAATGTGAAATGATTGTCCCAAAAGGGTTACAAATGTTTTTTTCTTCCATTTTCAGCATGGAACCTATGCAGGCAAACGGAAGATGTCAGGCTCTGAAGTAGCTATATGCAAAAGTAAGTAAACTCTCATATTGTAATATTATCTGCCCGCTGAGAGGTAGAAGGACATTAACTCATTTCATTTTTTGTTAATACATAGAGTTAATTCCCTTCTTGCTGCCAGCAATTGATGGGTGCTGTATGTCAAATTTAGGGCTTATTCTAATGCTTCCTATTTATCATATGTAATTTTGATGTCTAAAATTATTACCCGATTGTCTGTATTTTTATTGTAGATGAAGGATCATTTGGAAAGTTTGTAAGGGCAGTTTCTAATCCAAAATCTTTTAAAAATCTTTTTATATTGTCTTTTTGGACTTGTCTGTGTTAAAATGTATAAGTTAATATCATTCTGGTTCCAAATGGTCAATTTCGGGCTGGAATAAACAGCTTTAGAAGAGGGTTAGATAATAATTTATTCTCAGTTTTGAAGTAGACTTTTTTTGTTACTCTTATTAGATAATCTTTCTTTGAGGTTTTAGGAAATTATAGGATCAAATTATTCAGTTTCGTTTTAAGTAAGGTGTATGAAAGTACAAAGTAGGTGAATACCATGCATAATGATTGCTATGCTTAATAATCTCTCCTTGATTTTGAGTTTCTTTACATATGAATGCGATTACAGAGTATCTTTTCTCTTCTGGAGAGATTTAGCAATATTCAAGCAATGTTGGAAATGTTTTGGAATACTAATCTACTTGATTCACCCCAGTAATGTTGTTATCTTTCTTGGTCAGGTGCAGCATCCAATAACAGTTCGTCGTCACCCCTGACCCACCTTAGCCAAGCTCCAGCTGAGGTCCTCAAGCTTCTAGAAGGAACTGTGTCGTGGAACTACCAGGTTCTGGAAGTAGAAAGAATAACACAACATCGGTAAGGTCAAATGAATATTTGTTGTTGTTTTTTGCAGATTGGAGTTGGTTGGATTATGATATAATAATATGTAACAACATAATTAATAATGATATAAAAATATAATAATGTAATATTTTGATAATATAATAATATGATAATATGATAATGTGATAATGTGATAATATGACAATAGAATAGTATGATAATATAATAATATAATAATATAATAATATAATAATATAATAATATAATAATATAATAATATAATAATATAATAATATAATAATATAATAATATAATATAATAATAAAATAATATAATAATATAATAATATAATAATATAATAATATAATAATATAATAATATAATAATATAATAATATAATAATATAATAATATAATAATATAATAATATAATAATATAATAATATAATAATAATATAACTGTATGTAATGTAATGTAAATAGCACTTGAAAGGACCTAAATTGGGGTTAACACACACACACACGCTCATAGTTTGCAAGAATCTTCAGTCAGTTGAAGGAGACGGACTTAATCAGAAGAAGAAGAAGAAGAATATTCATGAGGATGTCGATTGGTGGTGTTGTATTAGTTGGAAGGGTTCCCATTCTATTTGAAAATGGGAAAGTTATCTTCTTGACAGGCTAACAACATTGACTTATTTTGTCAAGATATATATTAAAGAAAGTTCATTTTGATTATGAATGTTCAATTCATAATTATCACTCTTTTAATTAAGTGATAAGGTATTCGCATTGTGTGGTGCCCATCATCATCACCACCAGCGGTAGCATCATTATCCTCCTCATCAGTCATCTTCCTTCCCCTCATAATCATCATCACCTTTATCATCTCTCCTCCTTCTCCTCTTCCTCCTCCTCCTCCTCCTCCTCTTCCTCCTCCTCCTCCTCCTCCTCCTCCTCCTCCTCCTCCTCCTCCTCCTCCTCCTCCTCCTCCTCCTCCTCCTCCTCCTCCTCTTCCTCCTCCTTCTCCTCTTCCTCCTCCTCTTTTTCATCATCAGTTATCAGATATGGGATTTGTTGCTACCTTGTTTGGCGTTCAACAATAAGGGATAGAGCAACGTCGATCTGGCGCTGCTCAGTGGCTGCCGGGCTCACAATCAATTGGGCAAAAAGAATTTCCGTTTCGGTTTAATAAAATTTGGAGTGGACTATTAGGCTATTATTATTATTATTATTATTATCATCATCCTCATCACCATCATCATCCTCCTCATCATCATCCTCCTCATCATCTTTATATTATCATTATCTTCATTATTACCACCACCACCATCATTATCGTTGTCATCATTATACTCATCTTTTTCTCCTGCCTAATACTCACCCTCACTCTATCTGAACAGTTGTCATCATCCCAAACTTTATCCATTTTCTTCCCTTGTACAGGCCCTTATTGTTCACTGGTCTAAAGATATTTTCAAGGTTTGGTGTGTGTAATTTCCTTGGAATCTCAGAGACAGTACTCAGGAATTGGTTGCAGGTGATAGAGAGCAACTACCACAGTTGCAACCCCTACCACAACTCATCACATGCTGCTGATGTGTTGCAAGCAACGTCCTATTTCCTCGGCAAGGACAAAATGCAAGTAAGTGAAAGAAGCTGTAACCTTTTCTGTGACTCCAGTAATGGCACACTACAAAATTCAGTGTTGTGCTGTGTTATTTGACTTCAATTTTCCTTCTTGAAATAGATAAATATATTCATTGTAAAGATTATTTAGAATCTCTTCCATGTTTTTTGACACTGCCTTTTTTCTCCAATAGTCCTATTTCAAGACAAAGGAGCCTTGTAACAAAAGAGATACATTCATTACAAAATTAGTAGTGTACTTTTGAACACTTGAGAAAACAGAACAGGGTAAATAATTGAATGATTCCCTTGAAATGTCTTAAACTTCTACTCCTTGCCCATAAGTCTTAATCAGGAACAAAATCAATTAATCGTAAATCACAAGGTTAAATTCATATTTCATACAGTCAAGTTTTATGTTACAGAAAAATATAGTTCATGTTAAGATACAATCAGTCAAACAAAGCTTTTTACAGTTGATTGTAAGTCCAATCATATGTTTCAGGAGCCTATTAGGAATTTGTGACTTTGTTAGAGGTGAAAAGAATAAAATTGAATTCTAACAACATGGTAGCTTTCAGTTTTTGTATCTAGTAACGATAATCAAGTTTTAAGGCATTAAAGCCCCACTGCACTACTTATAGCTACTTGCGCCCTCTATATAGCAACCAATGCCTAATCGGTGACCATTGGTCCCCCATGGTACCCTTTTTTATGTTCAGTGAGAGCTGATTTAAATAGATAACCACCTGTCAGTGACCATGTAGGGAGGTCTAATCCCTCCTGGCCAAACTAGTGCAGAGGGGATTTAAGTCATGGAGCAGCATTGATAGTTTCTAGAGATTGGTAAAGCGATAAATTTCATTTCTGACAAGATTTTTTTATATTGTGTTTCATCAATCTTTTGTAGTCATGTTTTGAGACAGCGGATCATGTAGCAGCATTGATAGCAGCAGCTGTTCACGACGTGGATCATCCGGGCAAGACAAACTCATTCCTCTGTAACGCTGGAAGTGATCTAGCTATTCTATACAATGACACGTAAGTGCTTCTTAACCAATATTCTCATGTCTCAAGAATATGTCGTAAAGAACCTTGCTATAAAGACCACCCAAGGGAGACAAGAAAAGTGGTCTTTATAGGCAGATGATCTTTACGTAAAGGTTCCTTTTGTACATGTTTCAATGAAAAAACCATTTTGAGGGGAAAATGTGGTCTTTGTAGACAGGTGGTCTCTCTATACAGGTGGTTGCTAAAGCAGGTTTAACTGTTGTATAAAATGGCAATTTTATGACAGGTCAAAACACTTCATATCGTATACCAAACCAATTTTGGCTGCCTGCAATAAGGCTCTTACTGCTATTGACAGTACATAATTCTTACAGCCTTCTTGCGGACAGCCGATAATTATTGCCCGTAAAATGTAAAAAGTTGCAATAGACTGTGATGTCAAATAAAGATTAATATTGTTTTATCTTTCACTACAGAGCTGTACTGGAGAGTCATCATTCAGCTCTAGCATTCCAACTCACAACAAAAGAAGACAGATGCAATATATTCAAGGAGTTGGACAGGTGAGTAGATGATGATGATGATGTTCTTTTGTTAAAAAATGTTGTAACTAAATTTATTTTGTCTCGATTTGTATTGTTTACATCAATATGTTTGTAAATTTTGTATTTATGTTGTAGGGCCTCCACGGAAAATAGTATTTAACTACTAATGGAGCCACCCTACTAAAACAAGACTAATAAATAAGTAAATAACAAATAAGAAGAAATTTGTTCTGCCTAGTGGTGTTGATGTGATGGAGATGAAAGCAGACAATATAATGATAATTCTAGTGATGGTGATGATGATAGTGGTAATGGTAGTGATGGTAGTTATTGGATATTTTGTTGATAAATTAATGTAGTTCTGTCTAATTTATAGGAATGGTAAATTGGAATAGATAGTAGATTGATTGTGATATTTCTGTATACTCACATAATACCACAATTTCCCATTATTTCCAAATCAATTAAATATATTAAAAAGATATCAATCAAGTTAATTGACACAATGTTAAGTTGCTGTAGCAGAAAGTACGGTACCTGTATCACTCTAAATAATTGAAATGGATATGCACACTAAGTGCAGTTTATTGCACAGCATTCTTTGCATGAAAATCATTCTTAACCCATTGCTCAGGGGAACAGGATGGCCGTTGTATCGAATCTATGGAAATGTAAAAATTCAGTACCGTATTTTCCGGCGTAAAGGCCGCAGTATTTTTGGGTGAGAAAAAATCAAAAAGTCGGGGTGCGGCGTATACGCAACAACAACAAAATTCAGCGGTCAAAACATCACGTCCATTTGCACGTATGGGACTATAGGAACGGTAGCATGACTAGACAACGGTACAGGACAATTCTAGAATAACTCCACACAACTTACCGACAATTTTATGTTGCATAGTTGACATGAAGACGAAAAAACTTATTTTTCTAATAAAATCTGCCGATAGATCTAGATCTAAGTCCGTACCATTGCATCGCCAAAAAGTAAACAAAGGGACAGGCTGTTACTTACGGAGCTAGCTGTCGCGCAACGCAACTGAGCAGGTCGAAAAATGCTTTTTCGGATTACACCGCACATCGAGGAAGGGGTATTGTAGGATACCAAATCTGCGTACGATACAGTACTAGCTTAAAAGTCGATGAAGATCTGCTAAATTATGATCATTTTTGAGGTTAACTTCTTGTTGATTTATAAGAATATTGATGAATTTGGTATAGTTTGTAAAAAAAAAAGAGTGTTCTACAAGAAAATTACGATCATTTTGTTTGGTCCGTTTTTTTTTTCTCTCTCAGTTTTTTTTTTTTCCTCTACGAAATGTCAAAGTTGGGGGTGCGGCCTATACGGCGGTGCGGCCTTTACGCCGGCAAATACGGTAGTCAGTGGGTTAAATCTTCTGTGTGCTTATTGCAAACATATTTTGCATAAAATAAAACTGATGTTATTCACACTTATTTTGTCTATTAAAACAGGGATGATTTCCGTGCACTACGTCACTCTATCATTGACATGATCCTGGCTACGGAGATGACCAAACACTTTGAGCATCTCTCCAAGTTTGTCAACTGCATCAACAAACCAGGAGCAAGGGATGGGGACGACTCGTCATCTCTGGTAATAATAATATTCCGCTTTTATATAGCGCTTGATACATCAACGATGTCTATAAGCACTTTACAGATATATTATTACCCCGGTCATCAGATTCAGGCTTGCCCGCACACAATGTATGCACATTCTCAGCTCCCTGGGGAGCATTCCAGCCAGGCCTCATTTTAGAGATGCTCACAATGCTGAGCAAATTACATTAACTTTCGCATCCTACCATGTACCCATTTAACACCTGGGTGGAGAGTGGCAAATGTAGATTAACGTCTTGCCAAAAGACGTTAGTGTTGGGCTTGGATTTGAACCCCCTACCTTGTGATCTGTAGTCAGGTGACTTATCCTCTAGACCACAAAATGCATATGATTACAGTCAACTCTCTGTACAAATGATAATAATAATGATAATGATAATAGTCTGGTTGAGAGCCAGAATGACGTTATCTCTGTGTTAAAGGAAGATGGTCATCAGTTTCCATGTACAGAAGGTCATAATTCGCTGACACAAGACTTGGTGGAAGTACCATTAATGGGTGTACAAGTCTGCACAAAGCAAACCAGTGGTCCCATAAAAATATTTAAAAAATACCCCCTAGTCTCTCAGAGAGTCTTTGGGTGAGAGAAATGTAATATAATGACTTTACCATATGGTTTATACATGTTCTGAAATGTAATGGTTCAGAAGGAATTATTTCATCATTCATTTAGGCGTAAATATTTAACTCAAGGCCATTTAATGTGATCTCGGTCATTAATGGGTACCCTGCTTTTGATTTCTATGGCAGCAGAGTGGCGGGCGAAGCACCCCTGACACCATGATCCTGTCGACCCCCGAGAACAGGGCTCTGGTGCGGCGCATGCTCATCAAGTGTGCTGACGTAGCCAACCCTACAAGACCTCTAGAGCTGTGTAGAGAATGGGCAAGGAGGATATCTCAGGAATACTTCAATCAGGTGAGGCATCCATCAATTGAATTTAATTGAATTTCTTTATTGTCATGCACAAATAAAAATCATCTTGCGACTCACATTTGTATAAATATAATAATACATTAACATATAATAAACAAAAAACTCACATAACATAATAACATAACAATGAAATATAATATAATTTAATCTCTATGTTGAGAGCCAGAGGAATTATTTGTATTATTTGTACTTCCCTAGCTCCCAATAGACAACATTAACTTAAATATATTCTAGAAAATGTTCATGACAACAATCAGTGACACATAAATAGAACAAATCACAGCCAAGATCAAGTTATATTTCAGTATTTGATCTACTCATGTTATAGGCGAACTCATGAAAAAAGGTATAGAGAAATCTCCTCTCTGTTTCACATCTAGGCTTTATCATAATGTTTGTTAATGTTGCAATACTGTTGAAAATGAATGAATATGTGAGGGAAGCTTGCAGTTAAACCACGTAATCTTTCAAGAGCGATTAGTGGAATATTCTTGAAATTAGATGAATCACTCTTGAATGAACACTAGTGTAACCATAAGCTATTGTGTATCTTCACCCTGGAAGCTTTAAAAGATTATAAATTGTCATGGAAAAACAGCCCCCATACCAAGATAAAAATAAGGCCTAAAATGGATGTTCCTATACTGAGGATATTTTCAACATGGTAATCAAAATTAATTAATTGACCGAAGGTGAAACATCCTGATAATTCCTCTTAATCTTTTCTCATCCCATTCTGGAATGTTTCCCATTTATCTCCATTTTAATGTTTTGCGTTCTTTTTATGCTTGTATATTATTTAGTAATTCTCTCTCTGTATCTCCCCTTCTATCTCTCTGTATTCCTTCCAATGATTATCCGTCCTTTTATATCCATGAAGTTCATTGTTCATTGATAAAGTATTTCATTATTTTTCGTTTTCTTCCATTTAGACCGATGAGGAGAAGAGGCGTGGTCTGCCGGTTGTCATGCCGGTGTTTGACAGAACAATGTGCAGCATTCCTAAATCACAGATCTCTTTCATTGACTACTTCATCATGGACATGTTTGAGGCTTGGGATTGTAAGTAGTAGTGATGCTGGTGAACATAGTGATGATGACAGTGATGATGACAATGATTATGATGATGATGAAGATGGTGGTGGTGGTGGTGATGATGGTGGTGTTGGTGTTGATGGTGGTGGCAGTTGCGGTGGTGGTGGTGATGGTTATGGTGGTGGTGGTGATGGCAGGGATGATGATGATGGTGGTGGTGGCAGTGGTGGTGGTGGTGGTGTTGATTGTGGTGGTGGTGGTGGTGGTGGTGGTGTTGTTGTTGTTGATGATGGCGGCAGTGGTGGTGGTGGTGGTAGTGATGGGGGTGGTAATATTGATGATGACAATAATTGTGATAATAGAAATGGTCATAATGATGATATTAGTGGTGGTGGGGGTGGTGGTGGTGATGGTAAAATTGTTGATTACAATAATGATGATAATTATGATAATATAAATGGTCATAATGATGATAATAGTGGTGGTATAGGTGTTGATTGTAATATTGATGAGGATGGTGATCATGATGGAGATTATGCTAAAGATGATGATAGTGGTGGTGTTGATGATGATGATAGTGGTGGTGCCTAGAGGAATCGATGATGATGATGATCAAGGAGGAAAAGGTGGAGGGAGAAGAAGAGGGAGAAGAAAAAGGAGGAAAGGAAAGAAAAAAAAGAGAGAAGAAAGGAGGAGGATAATTGTGGCTGTAGTTATTATGTCGGGGATATAAATGATGATATTGTCTTTCATATTGTATTATTAGCGACCCAACATAATGATTAAAGATTAAAGCCCCACTGCACTACCTATAGCTACTTGCGCCCTCTATATAGCAAACAATGCCTAATCGGTGCCTGTTGGTCCCCCATGATCACTTTTTTTCTTATATTAATTGAGAGCTGATTTCATTAGATAACCACCTATCAGTGACCACACTGGATGGTCTAATCCCTCCTGGCCAAACTAGTAAAAACGGGCTTTAAAATAAAAATCTGATAATTTTCCCTTTTCCCCTCACATCCACAGCCTTTGCAGACTGCCCTGAGCTGATGGAGCATTTACAGATCAACTACGTTTTCTGGAAAGGAGAGGAGGAGAAGGAACGAGAAAAGAAGATGAAGGAGAAAGAAAACGAAAAGGGAGATCATGAAAAGCGATAATCCTCCCTCAAGCCGGGGTACACTTATGCAGGGACTGAATCTCAACATTTATTCAAAAGAAGTGTTTGAATTGAAGTGCACAAAGCAAATACTTGAGGTCTCTTGGATGAATGATTTTATATATGATGATCAAATTTTCTTCATGTCTGTCTACTTTGAAAGCTCCTTGTGCTTTGGTTCTATTCATCATCTTCAGTTCAACAAATTCCATCGCTATAATATATCAGGTGTCATGTATTCATAGCAGGGATGATGCGGTGCAGCAGATTATTGCTCCAAGGTGCTCATTAAATTAATTAATTAATTAAACTGCTTAAAAGCATTCTTTGAGCTTGAATGGGGTGAAATATGACCTTTTTAGCACAAAAAAAAGAGATGGCAGAAACATTCATTCATTGTCTGTGTATTGTTCTCATTATACATGTAACTTGTTTGTTGTAAAATGGGTTGCTATGTGGATGTATGTTCAACCCATTTTTCCAATGAAATATGTTATATCATGCAAAATGAGAATTTTAAGACATTATTTGTTTTATAAACAAAGAAACAAGGCTTTGTAAATGTGTATGAATATGGTTATATATATATATATATACATATATATATATATATGATTTATTATAAGGGTATACAAAAGAATTGTAATAGAGTGTCAAATATTATCAAAAGTGCCATAGGGTTTAATCAGCTAAAGGTTTGAAGCAACTCAAAATTATCTTCTAATATATCTCAACATGTACTCATCAGGGGAATTAACACTTTACATTTTTGTTAAATGTTTAAGAGCTGGAAAGAAATAGTTACGTGGAAAATCTGTCCATGAGCTCTAAGGAAATGTTTTTCTTCATGATGACAATACTTCCTATTCCCCCCTTGTATTTTACATGCAAACAGGTTATGTTTAGATAAAATGGGGTCTCATCAGTTTGATTGATCAAATTGAAGGGAATAAAAATATAGACGGATTAAAAAAAAAAAATCACCTTGATGTCTAGATATTTATATACGATAAGTACTGATTTTTTGAAGATACAAGTTTATATATGAAACAGATTTATAAAGCTGGTTTAAAAGTAATGTACAATGCGAAGTGTGCATTTTAGAATATATGGTATGTGGATCTCATCCGCTATTGAAAAAGAAGTGGATTGGTGATATTTTTCAAGGGAAAGATTTTACTGAAGAAAAATTGTTTTCATATTTATGACTTAAAATTCCCAAAATGGTCAGTCTGGTTTGAAACACAAATAATTTCATTTCTAGAGTCATCAAGAGCACTTGACGAGTGCATTTTTATGATTGATGATTTTAGAATAAGTGATAAACATTTGTCTTTTTCTTAATGTTTTGGGCACCCATCTTAGCGTGGCAAAATAGATACATGTACATTACGTGTATGAGTTTTTGTTCTTTGGTGAAGATCAATTAAATATGATTTGTATACTTAGTTTTTTAGACGAACATATTGTACCAAAGAAGAAAACTCTTAAAAAGGAGTTGTGATTTTTAGCAGTATTAATTTTATTAAAGCAATACTGAACTGATGAACTTTCTGCCCTAGCGTACTGTTAATTGCACAGCGCCATCTCATGGTCAACTTGCCAACAGTGCTTAACCCAATACTGTAAAAGTAGAAATATTCCGGTACATTAGTTTTCACGGATTTTGCGCTAAGCTCGGCATGCAGGCGCGAAAATATAAGCATGACCTCTTATGCATGTTTTGAACTGGCTGAATTGCGTGCAGCAGGAATATAAGAACCAGCGAATATGTTTTTGGGTCGCTCAGCGCCGAAAAATTAATCACGCCAAAAATAACAGCATTTACAATACCTTATTTCCAAAGGACAGCTAGGGAAGCAGCGAGTTGATTGGTACCTGACAGGAATTGATCATGAAGCACCAGGATTGAGTGTCAAGTCTGACAAACATGAGCGCTATACAAGAACTCACTATTATTATTACAGCTGACCTGAAATGGCACTAGAAGGGATTTCGCAGTACTGCTTCTAGTTTAGTATGGCTTTAAGTTCAACATGTGTTATAGTTTCCGTCCTGTCCATTATCTGTTATTTTAATACATATTTTTATGATTTTCAGTTATGAATATTCTGTTACCTGCAGCATTTTTATTTTTGTGAGTATCAGAAAATCTCTTGCCAAGTAGTTTAAGTTATTTTTGTCTTTGTTTTGTATTTTGAAAATCCCATGGACAGGACTTTAATGTCATTACTAGAAACTTTTTGTATGTCTGTTGTGGATCTGAATGTGATGTATTTGTATCATACTCAAGTATTTTAACAATATTATTTACAACTGTGAAAAATGATTCCATCAAAGCATTCTCTTCCTTTTAATTTGTTTTATTATTATCAGGTAAACTTTAAAAAAATGCATAATTTCCTTTGGAAATTAGTACTTTACCCCTTTTGGATTGTAAATCATGTATTTCTTTATTTGTATAATAGTTTCCGGACTTATATTACATGCATATAGGTAGGCAAACAGAAGGAGAATCGTAGAAAATTAAGGCATTAACAGATCACTTTCTCAAGTTTCAAATTTGCAACTGCAGCATCTTTTTCTTTGATGAAATTTTTTCTAATCATTTGGGTAAAAATCTATATCGTGAAGTCAGCGATACTTGTGAGAAGATCATATGTACGGTAACTTAAATCTCAAGAGCAAGAATTATCAATCAGCCTCAATCGAGCAAAATATTTTATAAGACCAAAATATAATAGATGTAAATATTTTGATGTCATTTTATCAATCATTTTGTTGATCTATTCAGTTTTCATAATCAATTTGTTGTGCTATAAGTTGCCAATTTGAAGAAAGATGCACACAAATCTAGGGTTGATTTAGGTCATCTATAAATCTAATCTAAGTTTTAAACAAAATAGAAAAATATTGTGTTTCTTTGAGCGAGTGCTTTTGCGATTCTTGCTCCAGATAAAATCATGATTTTCCTGACTAATGTTCAAGTTGGTATACAATGTGTTAATTGATTGAACATGACATGAAGAGCCCTGTTGTATGTCTCTTCATATACATGTAGTTCTAACTGTGGACGAAAGGTTTGTAAATATTGTACAGAGATTATGCATTCCTAAGGGAGAAGAGAAGAAAGATATTTATATATTTATAGTGAATCGAGAATCGATTATGGACATTATATTTTATCTGCCAACTATTTCTTTAAATTTAAATATTTTTTGCAAAGTATGTTGGAGGAATAATTTTTATTAGCCTTTCATTGCCAAATCTGGTCAAGTGCAAGGCAAAGCTAGTAAGTTTTTAATTTTTGTTTTTAATATAACTCCTAAATGCAACAATCAGTGTAGTTGGGGTATGAATGCAATTATTCATTTAGATATTTCGATGTCACATTAATGATCTTCAAAAAACATGACAAATACAGTCAAACCTGCTTTAGTGACCACCTGTCTACAAGGACCACATTTTTTGTTTCCCGTTAAAATGGTTTCTCATTGAAACATGTACTAAAGGAACATGTCTACAAAGGCCACCTGCCTGCAAAGACCACTTTTTGTGTTTCCCTTGGGCGGTCGCTATAGACAGGTTTGACTGTAGTACAAATATTTTTTGGGGGAAATAGGCAATCTTTCAAGTCATGGTGTTCTTATGATAGATATGCAGTATTCATGTTTGAGAGTAAAATGGGCATCTAATCCTTTTTGCTTTAGATGAATTTAGAATTTCATCTGAAATCAACATCAAGCGGGCTCATTCCATTGTTAGCGCGAAATAGCAGAAATAAATGGATGATGAATATCAATTTATGAAAGGATTTGAAAATGATATAATTACAAGCTGTTTTAAAATTGGGACGGTCCTCTTTATATTTAAATGTAAAATGAAATTCTCATCAAATTTTTACATACAGTAATTTAGTTATAAAAGTCTAGTGTTAGCTCATTTCTTTTTCCGTTATTTGTTAAGATTCTGGTGCTATATCCTATCGGTATCTGTGCTAGAATTTGAGTTTTATCTTTCTTAGAATGATAGAAATGTTTTCCTCTACCTCACTGTTGTAGCAGGCAGAGCACTTCATAGAAAATATGATGTACACCACAACAGGTCATTACCGGTATATTCAATTTAACAGTATAGCAAAGAGTTAGGAGTAGAAACTTCGTTGGTATAGAATGAGCTGTGAAAGCAATCATTTCTGCATGATCAACTTTATGAGGTTTGCATCAATCATTTTAAGCAAGTTGCAGACCTATAAAGTGCAGTGCATGGGTGCTTATAATCATGCTTAATTAATTTTTGCATAGAAATCATTGGAATGTCTATGCATTGTATTATTAAAAATTCTTTACTCTCTGAAAAGGAGCAAAAATTTAGAAGAATTACCTAAACTTGAAAATTGCAACTTTATTTTAATATCATGTAGACTTCATATACATTAATTTTCAGTAATTACACAAGGAAAAAATAATTGTACAATCTACATTTGAATGTTGGCTATTTCACAATGTGAACACTAAGATGTTTAACTCAACAGTTTCAAACAGCTTTAAAGAAAAAAGTATGTTGTTCTAGAGCATTTATTTTTTATAATTCAGTGTGTGACGGTTTTAAAAGTTTATTCTGTGGCACTTTTGTGACGGCTGTGTAGAATATTCTTATCTAAATAACATAAAGATACATAATGGTTTTGTTATAATGTATTAATAGAACATATCTGTAAAGCGCTTAGATATATCGTTGATGTAGTAAGCACTAAATAAATGCGGAATATTATTATTATTGTTATTAGAATAATAGTTTCATATTGTAAGACTGATATATTATGTTTTTAAACTAAATACTATTTAGTTATTATAAAGCCACCAATTGAATCAAATTTTTACAAAGTTTCGTTCCCTTTCTCTGCTTCAGAAAGGATTTATTTTAATGAAAATGCAGTATTAGCACAAAGCAGTTCAGAACAAAGCACAATCGTGTTACAGGGACGTGTGATCGAGAACAAACAGATAAAAGTACTTTTATGAGCCTTGTATCCAACATTCCATTTAGTGTACTGCTTTATACAGACATGTATCATATATGACCGTGTAATATAATGAGTATGTTGACTATCATTTACAAGCATCATTACAGTTCAGTGTTTTAATAGAGAGTAAAAATTTTCAGCTACTGCAAAACCAGAAACTTTTGCAAATTGTTGAGAACTTTCGGGAATCATGAGAATGTAGTGTTGTGTCAATTTTGCATCGGTTATTGTGTGGCATGCTCTCTCATACCACTTGAGAAATTTGTGAACGTTCCATGCACGTAAAAGTCACTGGCTTTGCAGTACACCTGTACAGACTATAAACCCCTATCCAGTATATCATGTCATGAATTACTCTCATTTATTGGAAGTTGATATAATGATTGCTATTTGAGATCATTTCAAACTTTTAAGTCCATTGTACTACATTTCCATATATGTGTATTGGATGTGTATGCCCCTTTACACAGTCAAACCTGCTTTTAATAGTGACCACCTGTCTACAAAGACCACATTTTTGTTTCCTGGGTAAAAGGTTTCTCGTTGAAACATGTACTAAAGGAACCTGTCTACAAAGACCATATAGACAGGTTTGACTGTACTTATCTTTTTTTTGTTTCACCCATTGACTACTGAAGGTTCTCTTTGCGATCCACTTTTCAGTTTCTCGCTGCTTCCTATAGGCAATGGGCTGACTGATAAGTGGCATATATTTCTTGATAACTTTTTGATAATTAAGATGGATGAGCACCATCTAGATTGCAATTAATTTGTTTCCCTGTTTTGATAATCCAAACGTAATCATTCAACACTGGATTTAAATCAAACCAGCTTTTCAAAGTACTCTATTTAAAGTTGCAAACAGTAGGATTGTTGCAAATTATTTTAATTAAGCCCACATACAGTGTTTCCTTGTGACTATACAGCTATTAAAAAAGGGCATACTTATGACTTTAGAGGGCATCATGAACTTTAAAATATCTAATATTCTATTGAAATTAACTTTCCCCATTTTCTGTTCCAAAATCAAGACAGACTTCCCTGTTTAATACCATTTCCCAAAACATGAATAAATGTAGTAGTATTTGTTTAAAAAAACACATTAACTTGTCTGCTCTGAGCCGGTAGGGCATTCATCTCAAACTATTATTGTTTAATCTTAAAGACTGATGACCCTAGTTATAGGAACCAATTATACAGTATAATCCACCCATGTGTAAGTTGCGCTTTTATTGCTATCTTGATGTACAGCCATGGAAGTGTTGTCTATCAAAGAGTATATATATGATTTTACATTTGTGTGTAAATGTAAATCTGGGCTAGTTAACCTGAAGTTTCGATGCACCATTGTACATTGAAATCACTTTCCTGTCATAATTGTACAAAGAACAAAATATATAGCTTGAAAGTAATGTCTGTTGTAAATAAAAATGAACATGTTTATCTGTATACCTTGCTCTCTTGACTCCTTTCTTGGAATTTGTTAGTGAATGCCCTTGAATTAATCTAACTTGCATGTAAATATTAAATAATGGCCTATTTTAGTGATCTTAAACAGTTCTTATCAAATTTCTAATTTTCTGTCTCCCCTATGTAACTCTCGCTCTCTCTCTTATTATGTCTGTCACCCATCTCCCTCTCTCTTTTATTTTATCTATCACCCCATCTCTCTCTCTTATTCTGTCTCTCACCCCATCTCTCTTTCTCTCTTTTTTTATCTGTCACCCTGTGTAACTTTCTCTCTCGCTCATTCTCTCTTAATTCTGTCTGTCACCCCATCTCTTTCTCTTATTTTGTCTGTCACCCCATCTCTCTCTCTCTCTTATTCTGTCTCTCACCCCATCTCTCTTTCTCTTTTTTTTTTTTATCTGTCACCCTGTGTAACTTTCTCTCTCACTCATTCTCTCTTAATTCTGTCTGTCACCCCATCTCTCTCTCTTATTTAACCTGTCACCCCATCTCTCTCTTATTCTGTCTGTCACCCCATCTCTCTCTCTTATTTTGTCTGTCACCCCATCTCTCTCTCTTATTCTGTCTCTCACCCCATCTCTCTTTCTCTTTTATTTTATCTGTCACCCTGTGTAACTTTCTCTCTTAATTCTGTCTGTCACCCCATCTCTCTCTCTCTCTCTCTCTCTCTTTTATTTTATCTGTCACCCTGTGTAACACTCTTTTTCTTATTTTATCTATCACCCTGTGAAACACTGTGAAACACTCTTTCTCTTATGTTATCTGTCACCCTGTGTAACTTTCTCTCTTATTCTGTCTCTCACCCCATCTCTCTTTCTCTCTTTTTTTTATCTGTCACCCTGTGTAACTTTCTCTCTCGCTCATTCTCTCTTAATTCTGTCTGTCACCCCATCTCTTTCTCTTATTTTGTCTGTCACCCCATCTCTCTCTCTCTCTTATTCTGTCTCTCACCGTATCTCTCTTTCTCTTTTTTTTTTTTATCTGTCACCCTGTGTAACTTTCTCTCTCACTCATTCTCTCTTAATTCTGTCTGTCACCCCATCTCTCTCTCTTATTTTGTCTGTCACTCCATCTCTCTCTTATTCTGTCTGTCACCCCATCTCTCTCTCTTATTTTGTCTGTCACCCCATCTCTCTCTCTTATTCTGTCTCTCACCCCATCTCTCTTTCTCTTTTATTTTATCTGTCACCCTGTGTAACTTTCTCTCTTAATTCTGTCTGTCACCCCATCTCTCTCTCTCTCTCTCTCTCTCTATTATTTTATCTGTCACCCTGTGTAACACTCTTTTTCTTATTTTATCTATCACCCTGTGTAACACTCTTTCTCTTATGTTATCTATCACCCTGTGTAACACTCTTTCTCTTATGTTATCTGTCACCCTGTGTACCTTTCTCTCTTAATTATGTCTGTCACCCCATCTCTCTCTCTCTCTCTCTTTTATTTTATCTGTCACCCTGTGTAACACTCTTTTTCTTATTTTATCTATCACCCTGTGAAACACTGTTTCTCTTATGTTATCTATCACCCTGTGAAACACTCTTTCTCTTATGTTATCTGTCACCCTGTGTAACTTTCTCTCTTAATTCTGTCTGTCACCCCATCTCTCTCTCTTATTTAATCTGTCACATCATCTCTCTCTCTCTCTTATTTAACCTGTCACCCCATCTCTCTCTCTCTCTTATTCTGTCTCTCACCCCATCTCTCTTTCTCTTTTATGTTATCTGTCACCCTGTGTAACTTTCTCTCTTAATTCTGTCTGTCACCCCATCTCTCTCTCTCTCTCTCTCTCTCTTTTATTTTATCTGTCACCCTGTGTAACACTCTTTTTCTTATTTTATCTATCACCCTGTGAAACACTGTTTCTCTTATGTTATCTATCACCCTGTGAAACACTCTTTCTCTTATGTTATCTGTCACCCTGTGTAACTTTCTCTCTTAATTCTGTCTGTCACCCCATCTCTCTCTCTCTAATTTAATCTGTCACATCATCTCTCTCTCTCTCTCTCATTTAACCTGTCACCCCATCTCTCTCTCTCTCTTATTTAACCTGTCACATCATCTCTCTCTCTCTCTTATTTAACCTGTCACATCATCTCTCTCTCTCTCTCTTATTTAATCTGTCACCCCATCTCTCTCTCTCTCTTATTTAATCTGTCACCTCATCTCTCTCTTTCTTATTTAATCTGTCACCCTATCTCTTTCTTATTTAATCTGTCACACCATGTCTCTCTCACTCTCACACTCTCTCTCTCAGTGTTTCCTCTTTTGTCTCCACTGTACCTCTCTGTGATCTCCACATTGTAATTGTAAATATTCATGTCTTTCTCTCTTTGGCTCCTGTCTTATATCTCTCCATTTACACCCTACCGTGGATGTAATCTTATTTAGGCAGTCAATATATTTATACTATGTCTCTGTTACTTCTCTTTCTTCTTTATGACTCTCTCCTATAAACACAAACACTATTGACTACATTTGTTGCATCAAATGGAATGCCCTCCTTTTATTTTTAATGTCTTTCTCAAACATATTCTGGAATGATCATCAATAATAGTACTGCGTAAAATAATACATGAACAAGTCCCATTTTAACATCACATTTCACATAACAATATTTTGTCTTTTTAAGGTGACAATTCACAGAGAAAATCTAAGACTTCAAAATAATTAATACTGAGCCTGAGGAAAAACCATAACAGATTTGTATAGAAATAAAAGTAACAAATCTAAATGCTTTCCAGTCTCTTGAGAAGGCTTCAATAGGAAAAATATTAATGATTCCTCCCGTTTCTGATTTCTCATGACAAGTTTTGGACTCCAAATGATAATCTCTTCCACCGATAACTTAATATGATGCCCAGGACTTAGCAGCCTAGTTGTTCAAATCTGATACATAAGTGAGATATTATTCACATAAATAACATGTAGTTGTGCAATCGGCATGTACATGTATATCTAATGCAAGCAGCTTATTCACGCAATACAATCCAAAATAAAATCATTTCTAGAATTGTGTTCAGATGGGATCACCTTTTGCCATCATTTGTCAATTATAATAATAAAATACCACTTTGTCAAGGACATTTTGTTACTGTTATTCAGATTCAGTAATGCACACACACAAAAAAAATTATGATTATAATCATTATTATAACATGATGTCCTGTAGATTTTAGTTACAGCTTGAGACATTATCCTGTAACATATAAATCCCTAATTTGTATAAAAAATAACTTATAAAAATACTGTTATGGATTACTTTTAAGAGTACAAGGAACTTACTAGGGTAGTTTTATTTTAATATGCAAGACACAAATATACATGACCAACGTTTTATTTCATGATACTTGAGAGTTTGAACATTTCTATTCCATCTGCAGAAAATCATAAGTGGTTCAATTCCTGTGTTGATGATTAATATAAAAATATAGAGCAAGAATGTCACTTCCAGTGATAAAGTTTCAAATATCAAAATGAAACATTCTTACAGTTTCCAATGATTTGATTTTGATATATACTTGGCTGAAACTTTAACAGAGAACAACATAATTATACTGATATCACTTTCCCCTTTAAAAACATTACTTAGTCACACCCTTCTGTTGCTCAGCCGGTAGTTTTACCTACAACAAAATGAATATACCCAGTAAATAATACAAAAAACAACAAAATATATATACTCTGTATGATTGCACTTTACATTGAAATTTAGCAACTTGTCAGATCAATAATATAAAAATAAAAATTCTATTCTAGACATTTGACGTAAGTAGAATATATCAAGCAAATAAGTAGTATATCATATGTTAGATGTGAGTTACGAAATCGGCAAAACAAAATTGGAGCAAATTAATATTTGATATATACATGTATTTTTATACAATACTTGGGGGTCGTTAAGCCATAGAGACAGGGAACACTAGATGAAAATGGAATGGATGATCTGAGAAGAATGTGTCAAAGAAGTAGAGAATCAAGCTTTAAAATTTGTCAATGTCGTGTTCAATATATTCTGAGCTATGGTACAAAATCCATCTTGACCAGCAAGATCAACAGGAAAGCAAAAAAACTGAACACAGAGTGCCATATTACTCTCATCCCTGCCTCTTGCCCTCAAATCCTCCTCTCCCCCCTTAAAAACAAAAAACAAAAGAATACAAAACAAACACTTAAGACATATTGTTTGCTTGAAAGCTTTGAAATTAATTTTTTATGTATCCTAAATGTAAGATATATTTCTGAACAATTTAATGATTTTCTCTATTACTCTATAAAAAAAGTACATATATCGTTAAATGAATCGAAGCTTATATTGTCTGTGATGGTAAAATCACATATTGGAATGAAGAAAAACGGTGTGATATGGGAATATACCGAGTCAAAAATATAGATACTTTGAATGCAATGGATATGACGGAGACACAGAGCTGCAAACGGTAACAAATTTATTTTTTAGAAGTAAATACAAGAGTTCAATTTTTCCTCAATAAAATACAATTTTCTGACAATCTGAATGTGTTTGTGTTTTGTGTGTGTGTGCCATTTTCAATAGCAAATTGCCCATTCTCTCCTGTAAAGTATCCTACAAGCATCTCACATCGGCAATTTGGCGATGTTCATTGGTTCATTGAACACACCAGTCTATAGTTTATTGATAAATTTTGATGTTGTGTTTTTATTTCAACAGATGAAATTGTGCAGAAGATTAGGGATGTCCCCTTTACTTAGTCACTAACTGACAGGAGTTCAGACCGAGGTGCCCAACAGCAATTGTACCTGGTAATCGTTCAATCCTTTGATGGAGATGTTAACAGAGTCATCAGAGCATTGCTAGAAATTGGAGTGACAAAGGAGAATTCAACAGGGAAGCACATCTTTGAAATCCTTGATAACATTTTGACAAAGAACAAAATCCAGTGGAAGAATGCTTTCCCTTCTCAGCTGACAATGCAATGCAGCTGTTATGATGGGCTCACAGAACAGTGTAGCAGCATTTGTTAAAGCCTATCTGCACTAGTTTGGCCAGGAGGGATTAGACCTCCCTGCAAGGTCACTGACAGGTGGTTATCTCACCAAATAAGCTCTCGATTTACATAAGAAAAGAGGGGATCATGGGGAACCGACAGGCAACGATTAGGCATTGTTTGCTATATAGAGGGCGCAAGTAGCTATAAGTAGTACAGTGTGGCTTTAGGAAGAAGAATCCTGACACATTTATCTTTGGATGTCCATGTCATCTCCTCCACCTTGCTGCAGAAAAAGGAGCAAAGAAGTTGCCATTTTCCCCAGTAGAGTTGCTCATTCCTATTTACTACTACCTTGAAAAGTCAAGTAAAAGGAACAAAGAACTTGAACCAAGTTTCAAACCCTCTGCTGTGTCGAGAATCATGCAATCTTGAAGCATGTACAGGTATGCACAAGATGGCTTTCCTTAGAAAAAGCACTCCAAAGACTGTTAGAACAATGGGAGCCACTATATGCATACTTTGCTCATGAGAGTCAAGAAGCAAAAGAAAAATAGCAGATACAAGTAGTAAATCAAAGAAACTAAAGGCTTCAACAGAGAGCAGTGGCGTACTATCCTCACAGGAAATTGATGGCACAAAGCTTTGTGTCCAGTTTGTCAACAAAAAGCCTTCTTCATCTCTAGCTGAAGCTACAAAAAAGGGAGGAGAAAGAGTCTCTGGTTTGAAGGAAAAGACAGCACAGATGATTAAGCCTCCTATTCAGCTTCAAGTAAGCCTTCTTCATCTGAAAGTACCTGTAAACCTTCTTGTTCAGCTACAAGTAACTTCAGAGATGCCAACTGATCTGTTTTTTGCTACGAACTAGGCAGTATGTTTTTTGTATGTTTTGTTACGTTTTTCTTAATTTCCGATCATATGATTGGTGTCGTATGTGTATTATGCACCATCTGCTTTCCGTAGGCGCTGAATCCACGGGCAGCACGGTTTATGTCTTCAAACGATGCATGCAGTACGGGGACATGGGGCCCCAAACTGTGCACCTTGCGAACAACCTACGTGTTTGATTTGTACACAGTCTGTATTTGCCCTGCGCCATATATCGCATACGTACCCAGGGCTAGCCCTGTACTGTATGCACGCACGCTGTGCCGTCACGCTCTGATCCGGGTACGTTTACGTGGTACCGCCGTCGCCTATTTCTTTGAAGCTGCTCGATTGGGATCTTATCTGGATTTTATCGTTTGTGGATCACGGCCTCAAAATCCAGGAAACAAACTTTGCGACCGGAATATACTACCAAATGGCCATGCATTATATGTTCTAAAAAAAAAAATCACTGCATGATGTGAGCTGTGTAATTCTGAATTCAACATTTCACACGGAGGTGCTAACGATAACAAGCACCCTTCCAAGGGAAAAAGCATGTCAGCTTGGCTTCAAGTGCTGCAAGTTGTCAGGATCGTGCACAATAGTTCAAAAAGACTGATTATTCAATAACCAGAGCTTGATTGTTATGACGAGCGGCGCTTTGTCTATGTGCACCCAACTTGAAAGAAACTGATTACGCCTCCTATTCCTAACCAGCAGAAGTTACGTGTTTTGCTTCATAATATTATATGTTTGATTTTTTTTGTTTGATAGTAATTTTTAGGGCAGTTTTGTTTACGGTAAGTAAGTTTTTAATTATCTGTAATGTTAGTATTAGAATTATGTATTATTATTGCTGTATGTTTAGTTTATGTTGTACCTTATTATGTTAAGCGCTTCCCAAGACGAAAATCCAATTGAAACCAATTGAACACCAATTGAAATTTCAATTGGTTTCAATTGGTTTCAATTGGTTCCAATTGGTCTCAATAGGTTTTTAACAGGTTTCAATGGGACTTTAATAGGACTTCAGATGGTTTCAATTGGTCCAGGTTGGCCCCATTGGCCCCATTGGCCTAGGTCCCATTAGACTTTAATGGGTCCCCAATTGGTTTCAATTGGTCCAGATTGGCCCCATTGGACAAATTGGACCCATTTGCTCCATTGGCCTAGGGCCCATTAGACTTTAATGGGTCCCCAATTGGTTTCAATTGGACCAATTGGCCTTAATTTGGACTTCAATTGGTCCAATTGAAACCAATTGAAATTCCATTAAAGTCTAATAGGGCCAATTGAAATCAATAAAAAAATAAAAATAGGACCAATGCTAAATAGAAACCAATTGGATCAATAGAAACCATTTGGACCAATAAGACCAATAAAAAACAATAGGACCAATAGGACGAATAGTAACCAACAGAAACCAATAGAAACCAACAAATCTAGGCATCTCATGAATATTCATTATCACTTTACACGTGTTACAGAAAAAAAAAATTATCATGATTTGTTAAGCAAATTATGACAATGCACATCAATTTTGTGATTTCTATTTTCCTTCGGCAATTATTAACTAATAGATTATTTTGTCTGATCATGTTACAATTACATTCACGTTTTAGCAATAGATATATTGATTATATGATTACTAACCAAAAAACAACATGCATATTTAGTATGTGTACGAGCCTGTGTCACTGTAACAGTAACTCTTGAATTCACTTCAAATGATCTATGTGATGAAGTTAATGCAAATGAGATTGGAATATACATAATTGGTGGACAGTTGCCAATATCGATTAGGAAGTATCAGTAATTTATCACTGGTTCTTCTAACTGGATCGATTTACCAATTGAATGTTATAGCCTTTTCTATGAATATTCATAATAAAGGAGTCTGCGGCAGACCTGCCGCAGACTCCTCATCATACTGAAAGAGTATGCGGCAAGTCTGCCGCAGACCTGCCGCAGACTCTTCATCATACTGAAAGAGTATGCGGCAAGTCTGCGGCAGGTCTGCAGCAAAACTAATTTGCATGTGAAAAAGATGACTGTCTGCGGCAGGTCTGCGTCAGATCTGCGGCAAGTTTGCCGCAGGAGTATGCGGCAGGCTCATATCTTTCCTATGGGAATTCTTTAGTCTTTAGATAAAAACCTGTATTTGTATGGCATGAATGGAGTATATCATTGTTTAAAGTGCAACATTTTCTTCCATTTTCTTCCATTTTCTGTACACAGGCTGACATAGTCACCACCACCACCACCACAACCTCTTCAGGACAAGGACACCATTGACCACCACCACCACCACCACCTCTTCAGGACAAGGACACCATCACCACCACCACCACCACCACCTCTTCAGGACAAGGACACCATCGACCACCACCACCTCTTCAGGACAAGGACACCATCGACCACCACCACCACCACCAACACCACCAACACCACCAACACCACCACCACCACCTCTTCAGGACAAGGACACCATCACCACCACCACCACCTCTTCAGGACAAGGACACCATCGACCACCACCACCTCTTCAGGATAAGGACACCATCGACCACCACCACCTCTTCAGGACAAGGACACCATCGACCACCACCACCTCTTCAGGACAAGGACACCATCGACCACCACCACCACCACCACCACTTCTTCAGGACAAGGACACCATCGACCACCACCACCACCACCACCACCACCTCTTCAGGACAAGGACACCATCGACCACCACCACCACCACCACCACCTCTTCAGGACAAGGACACCATCACCACCACCACCACCACCTCTTCAGGACAAGGACACCATCGACCACCACCACCACCACAACCTCTTCAGGACAAGGACACCACCACCACCACCACCACCACCTCTTAAGGACAAGCACACCATCACACAAGTAAAAATATTCCATTGCTCTCTTTTATATATGCCAATTTTAGAATGTTCGTTCATGGCAAGTAGTTCACTATGACATTTGAATAGGTAATTTACATTACCCCAAAGGGTTATTTGTACTTCAGTTTGAAATTATAATGCAAACTGATTCTGCAGCAGCGGTGGCATCATACATATCCTTATGTGCGCTTATATTAACTGCCACATTCCTTACGATTTCTTTCACATTTTTTATGAAGGTGTATCTTTGTATAATCTACAAGCCTATAGATTTTGGTGATCCTGCCTCCAGTGTTCCGTCTTTTATAAGTTCAAAGGTCATACTTTCATACATGTCTTGTGTGCACTCTAGTGTGCGCTCTAATTGCCACATTCCTTGACAGATTTCTTTAAATTATTTTATGGAGGTGTATGTTGGTAAAATTTATGCACCTAAAGTTTTTGGTGATGCTGCCACCAGTGTCCCGTGTTTTAAAGGGCCAAATTTGTCCCTTTTAATCGCTCGTACTGCCACATTTCTTGACGAATTTACTTTCAAATTTTGTATGGAGATGTAACTTGTTCAAAACTACACATCTTTAGTATTTGGTGATGCTGACACCTGTGTTCGTCTGTTATAGGGTAAAATTTCATATTTTAGTGGGTTTCTGGGCACTTTGAAGGTCATATTTCACGACTGATATCTTTCAAAGTTTTGTATCTTGGCACAATCTACACATTTAAAATTTTGAGCGATGTGCCCTCATTGTTCTGTCCTTTATAGCGTCAAAGGTCATATGTCATTACAGAGGTTTTAAAAAAAAAAATTATGGAATCATGTCATCTAGATGAAACGTTCCACAATTGAATAATGATTACATCAGCTTTTCGTGGTACACCTTAAAGCTTTGAGATTCTTTCTAATTTAGTGTCAGGGATTTAATTAGCTCCTTTGACAATCTTAGCTCAGAATGAGCATCCTAGTCTCCCAAACTTGACCTTCCTTTGCCGAGTCCCCCCCCCCCCCCTTCCCGACTAAGAAATGCCACTGGTCTAGTGAAGGGAATGGCAGCCTCCTGAAAAACAAATGTTGCTGTATCTCTTGTAATCTGTTGTCCACCATTTTAGTGGAAATTGCCAAGAAAGATAACATTTTGTTGAGTCGGGGCAGAAAACCCCTCTTCGCAATACAAGGTTTCAGAACTAGTCTCTTGAGAATGAGCCGATGAACAATCTGTCAAATTCTCTCCCGTACGTCAGCTTCTTACAGAATTGTGTTATAATGTTTCTTGGTGCAAATTCTTATCCAAATAGAATTTTAGAATTGACCTATAATAATGTAATGAAAACATTCCCTTTTTAAAGCGTGTTTCACTGGTTCATTTGCTAAAAGAAATTACCTTTATTGAAATAGAATATTTTTCCAGTCATGGGAATTAGGAATCTCACATAATACAGTGATGTGGAATAAGAAAAAGAAACTATTGTTCTTTAGTAACATTTTTCAACAAGAAAGATTTTAGCATAAAATATAATTTAGTATACAAATGAAAATTGGAAGATAATTCCCAATTTGAAACCTCATCTCTTTGTAAATTATTAATCCTTAATCAGCTGTCAGCTGACAACCAATCTTTGATTGCTACAATGGTAGTTATTGCTGCTGGTGGTCTCAACCCTACATGTGATAGTAGTTAAGCCAAAGCAGTTCAGACTCAGTCTATACAGAAAACAATACATAGAATATTCCTTTTTACGTTTCTTTGTATCACATCAAAAGTTTATCTCTTTCACTAAAAAATTGCCTTGATATCTTTTTCACATTGTTTGATAGCTTCCATCAGACAGAACCAAGCTATTCTGTACATGTCATGTACATCTTTCATTTGCTTTGAACAATTTTGTTGCTTTCTTTTAATTGCTCTGAAAGCCTGTGTGCCGTGTCTTATCCATCAGAGGCTGGGGCAAATACAGAGCTAGGACAGGGTGAATTATGCATGACCAGGACATTCAATGCCACATAGTGTGTGTGAGATTTGTTTTCATTCAGGGATTTACATTATCTGAACCTGTAGCTGTGTAATCTCTAACCCTATCAGGGCTGTAGGTGGTTTATACCATTTATATCTCATAGTATCTAATATCTTTGGACTATCACAAGCCCTAATAATTGTCTTTTGAAGTTCTTAATGGATTGATGACTTGTGAAGTTTGTTATCATAGAGCACTGTTTGTATTAAAGATGAATAATGAAAGTACAGACCGTAATCAAAAATTTGTCATGAAATCTCTTTTACTTATATGGTACATGTTTGTGAAATTGGTGACACAGTGAGGTATAATAATTAAAATGATGGTGAAGATAAAGCTCAGTATAATGAGATAATATATACTGGGGTATGTAGTTTAATATTCAGTAGGGTAAAATTTAAGAGTAAAATATATTTAAAATAGTTTGAAATAGTTTAATATGTAATCTAATGTAGCTTAATATATCCTATATTTAAAAGTAAAATATAGTTTGAAATAGTTTAATATGTAATCTAATGTAGCTTAATATATCCTATATTTAAAAGTAAAATATAGTTCAAATAGTTTGAAATAGTTTAATATGTAATCTAATGTAGCTTAGTACATCCTAAAATAGTTAAATTTTAGTTATAGATCAATATAGGAAGTTTTACAGTTTAACCTTTGCTGTGGAACCATTTCTTCATGTGTCACTAGCATGATTTTGTCAGAGGAATTTCAATAATGATTCACACTTAAATAAATTTATTTTTCATCCAAACAGTATCAAATGACACCTAACTTGAGAAGTCATTAACACTTTGATTTTATGAAGAAATACAAGATCTTCGATAGTCCAAAGATAACAGATATATCAAAATTGGGTTAAAGCCCCTCTAAAGTGTTGGGACCCCTAACAAATATGATGGCACAATTTCACTTAAATTGTATCATAATGTGAAAGACGGGTGTTATTTAAGACACGTTTCTGCAAGGATTTTCAAAACAAATTTGTTTTAAATCAAATATTAATAAAAGAATACAAAAATTAGGTTTAAGAAAACACCAATTATGTATTCTTTTATCTATATTTGTCTTCAAACACATTTTTTTGTAGGAAATCCTTGCAGAAGTGAGTCTTAAATGACATCCTCTTTCACATTATGATACATTTAAGTAAAATTTTGCCACAAAATTGTTGGCAAATTTGGGGCTCCAAACACTGGGCTTTAAGGTCAGTATAGTAAATTGTACTCATTTTATTTGCTCCAGTCACTGTTGCAATCATATTCTGTCACTGTGGGGGTTTCATACTTTGCCCTGTTTTGTTCCGTTTCAAAGCCATTGCCTTTTGCCATTTATAATTGTTCCCTCTATTTCAAATGATTACCATGAATTTACTTCCACTTTAATTGCTTTTTTGACTTTTTTTCTCTTGCTTTATAACCGAGAAATTAGATAAACTTCATAATTTGCTCCCGGCTTTCTGGCGGATCCAACAGTGCCTTCTGTTTACAAAAAAAAAAAAAAAATGTCTGAGGTTCTTTGGGTTAATTAAAACTAAAGTAAACTACAAACTAGGGTTTGTAGAATCCATCTTCAGCACCGGATGATTTATTAGATTGGCTGCAGCATTGTCCTCAACAATGATTATATGCTTTCTAAAATTGGAAATTGTATAGTTAGTGCTTCACTACTTTTACCACCACTTCAAATTACTTTTAATGTGAACGCTCTGTAGGGTCCATCAATTTCCTTCCATAACACATGAAGTCGGCATAAGGATAAACCTGACCATGCCGTCCGCAACATAGACCTTGGCGACGGACAGGTTGCTATTCCCAGTTCTAAACAGGTCATTATCAACAGTTGAACTGCTATGCTCTTGAAGACCTCTGCCACCTTGGCGACTCTTTCCTCATTTGACAAATCTTTCTGTTCTAACTCTACAAAGAATTACCTCACCAATTGGACCAGCAACCTTGCATGGTCACCATACAGCTTTGTTGGCTCTGGTCTGGAAAAGGCCAGCTTTCCAGTGCCCTTTGCCACAATTAGAAACATTGTATTACTGGTAAGCGCTTTATAAATGTAATTTATTGTTATTATTATATGTTAAAATGGACAGCAACGATGAGACCGAAAATGATCTGTTTCGAACCCCACCAGACATTCAACTAAACTCCCAGGACAGTCCCCAAGAAGATTCATCACAACATGATAACACCACAGATAAGAAAGTCTGCAAATTATGCGAGGAAGAGAGCGAGATGACTGTCATGATGAAATGTAGCAGTAAAAGGTGCAAGTTTTACTATCATTCTGCCTGCAAAGGAATGCATATGTTGACTTAATATATAAGATGTGTAAGTGGGGCACCATTTATATGTAATGAATGTGAAAGTGCTGAAGAAGATAATTGTCCAAGCATTGGAACCGACATCTAAAAATAATGAAACGGAGGAAACTACCAGTAACAAACATTAGGTTTCTGATTTTGCTCAATTTCCAACCCCCTGTACAAAATTAAAACTTTGTACAGGAGTCAAAATCGTCAGGAAGAATGGGTTCAGGGAAGACTCGATCTGCCGTCATGCTTCAGCAAGAGAGAGGTGTACGAGAGGATCAAGAATGACAATGCAGAGGTGTGCTCAGAGTCTCACTTCAAAAATGAAGATGAAGAACCACCCACGGAAGCACATCATCGGGAAGAGAAAGATGAGCCCATTCTCTATCGCGGGAAGTGGCATGCTTTCAAGGAAAGCAAGACCTTTTATAGGAACAGCATAGATGTTGCACAAAAGATCCTATTTCCGTCTTCCACAGTAAACATCAGTGTACCTAGTGCCTGCGATGACGAACTGAGTTTTATCATTGACTCATCAAAACTTGAATTTCCTGAAGATGTTACTTGCGATTAGACAGGGAAGTACAACAGACCAAGCTATTCACGTAGTCAGTTAATAGTTGGCAAAGAAAATGACATTAAC